ATAGCCTCGGCCTCGTACTTTCCCTGGCTCTCAAGCACTACAGCAAGGTTGTTCATACTTGTAAGCGTCTCGGGGTGCTTCTGGCCAAGCACCTCAATACGGAGCTGGAGCGTCTTCCGGTGTATAGCCTCGGCTTCGTTATTGTACTTCCCCTGCCTCACAAGCACTGCAGCAAGGTTGTTCATACTTGTAAGCGTCTCGGGGTGCTTCTGGCCAAGCACCTCTTTACAGAGCTGGAGTTCCTCCCGGTGTATAGCCTCGGCCTCGTTGTACTTTCCCTGGCTCTCAAGTACTCCAGCAAGGTTATTCATACTTGTAAGCGTCGAGGAGTGCTTCTGGCCAAGCACCTCTATACAGAGCTGGAGTTCCTCCCGGTGTATAGCCTCGGCCTCGTTGTACTTTCCCTGGCTCTTAAGTACTCCAGCAAGGTTATTCATACTTGCAAGCGTCGAGGAGTCTTCTAGCCCTAGTTTTGCTTTGTACCCTGCTACAGCCCGCCGAATTAGCGTCTCGGCCTTATCGTACTTGCCCTGGTCACTTAGCACCAAGGAAAGCAGCCCAATACTGTCGAAAATCCTTATGTCATCATCCTGAAGAAGATTTTCACGAATAGTAAGAGATTCTTGACTTTCTGCCTCGGCAATTTCATAATGACCCTGGAGAACGTTATACCAAGCCATATTATGCAAAAGAGATGCACGTTCAAGCAAAGACTGGCTTGACTTTAGCACTTCAAGAGCATGTGCTAATAGAGTCTCGCACGTCTTCCAGTTGCTATAGTCTCCACATGGAAAAGCTTTCGCCACCACTTTGATTGCCTCTCCCTGCCACCTTTCAGCCTCTTTATATCGCACAAGCCACTTCCGCATAGCGAGTTGCACAAGCCGGTGCATCTCAAAGGTCTTGCCACCCTTCTTAATAGTGATCAAAGAAAACTCATCTAAAGTGGCTAGAGCATATTCAAGGTCAAGATCATCGGGGTATTGCACGCAGAGGAGGAATTCGGGAATGCCTTGGCGATCGAGCATAGTTATAAGGGACAAAAGCTCCGCGGCTTGTGGATTGTTCTGCTTGATTTGGTCAAATGAGATTTGCCAGGTCCGGATCACAGAGTGATGAACGGAAGGATCCCGTCTTATATCCCCATATTCTTCGTCGAGTAGCCTACTTTGACTTTGTTCGTCTTTAAGATAGAGTAAGTACCTGGCCACATCCATGCGAATGGCTTTCGCACTAATATATGCAGCGGCTTGAGTGATTGCTAGTGGTACATAGTCTAGCTCTAGAACAAGCTCGGCACGATTAGAGCTAGTTGATACACCTTCAGGGATATTAATGCGAAGTAACTGCTCGGCGTCATTCGGTTCCATCAAATTGACCGGAATGGCGCTCGTGTACCCAGTGCTGAGCCACGACGCGGCACTTCCATCGCGCGTAGTGATAAGGACTGATCCATTTGTACTCTGTGGGATGTAACTCAATAATGGAGCAGTGCCATCTTGAGTTCCTTCCCTGCGTGTTGGGCGAAATATGTCGATATCATCAGCGTTATCTAAGATCATGAGCCAACGATTATTGCCGACGTCGCCTAGCCATCGTGAAACCAAACCTAACACGTCCGTCTTTGGGTCATCGGACCCTGGAAGGTCAAGTTCAGTGGCAATAAATCTGTATGCTTCTTTGAATCGATCGGCGGTAGTAGCATACACCCAGAAGACCCATAAATGCTGGTCCTTCGCTCTAAGTCGATACGAGTATTCAATTGCAATTTGCGACTTGCTATGTTCTGGTTAGATATTAGGATATGAATGGCGGAACCGAGTCATACCCTACCCCACCCAACCCTACAAGGACTGCCCGATTGTGGGAGTTTGGGATGGATAACTTTAGTTCTAGTTCTGCAAGGACATCGTGTCTGCCAATGAATTTTTTATCTCTATCGAATGGAACGGTCGACCGTGGGGGTTTCTTTCCTGACGTAGGTGCTAAATGCCACCGAGTTACTATCAAGGTCAAGATCGACGCATAAGTGAAAGGGGGTACAATCTCATCATCTAGAAACCTTAGGAAAATATAAGGCTATCGAGAGATTAAAGCGGATATTTACATTGGGACCGGGCTAGAATTAGCCCAGGGGCTGCCTTAACCATCCTCTTGATCACATCACTGACAGTCAAGAAGTCCTCCTCTTCTTTTTTACCAAACTTGTTCATGTTAAAGTGTGTTCGAGAGAGGGAGTATTTCTCGGTCGATTCTGAGAGGTCTAGACAGCCGGAGCTCTCGCTCACCACAAATCTCTACGGTGATGGTTAGTACGCATCCGTGGGAGGTGGCTTCACATACCGTCCGCGGTTGCCCGCCCACAATGGCCCCAACATTGCTAGACTTTAGCTCGTAAAAACAGGCAACCTGGGACTTATTCCCTTGTGACCGGGTCTTGCCAAAGTTGTCCACCAGATCCTGAAGGAATTCATTTCCCGGTTCGAGTATCTTCAATACATCTTGCTGTACGCGATCCTCGTCGTATTCCCTCCTCGCGGCCTCGAGCATTTCGCTCTGCTTCATGCCCTCTGCCCCTCGAAATGGCGTGCCAAAGAATACCAGACCGGCCGTGGAGTCGAACACCCCCTGCCACTCGTCCTTGTGGTACCGTGCCTCGAGGAGGGCCTGGAGTGCTTAGCCATGTGTAGAGGTATGTACAGTGGGTCTTGCCGAACCAACCTTCATAATCACGAGCCCCCCAAAACAGTGAGCTATGAATATCAACGGGCGGAAGGGGAACTCCTGTCGGAGGTCTATCAGCCACGAGAGCTCTACCCACGACAAGCATCTTGCTTACCTCCCTCTCACGTCTCAGAGCCAAAAGAAAGCGCTGCGCAACACTTGAGGCCTTCTGGCGGATTGCATTATTGCCGAACCATGCAGACTCGTACCCATATCGCATAATTCGCGAGTTTGGAGCCACCGACGGTAGCATGTCCTTATGTTCGAGCCAGTTGACATATTGAGGTGTTTCCGAGTCCAAGCTAATATTCTTACACCAGGTATAGTGAGGGTGGGCACCGATACCATGGATCGCGACGATACTATGAACCGTTAGGGGAAATTGAAGCAAGAAGGAGAGGATCGCACTCAATAATCTGAGTCTGAGTCCCATCTATTTCCGCCGCCGGGTTGTAGAGGACCTTCAGCCCTGTGTCGTCTACGGTCACCGCCGGAATCTATTGTATTAGATTGCTCGTTTTACCAAATACCGCTCTAGAGACTTACCATCGTAGCAATGCGATAAATGATAGAGTGGTAGATGAGGGTAGAGCCGTGGAAGTGCAACGACGCTGGTGTTAACCTTCCGACGATGATTTGGTGGTGTTACAAGGCTCCGTCTGGAGTTGGCAGAATTGAGGCTGAGCCGCCTTCAGCCCCCAACTTCTTGTATATGTGAAGCTTGTCTACTCCGTACCTTCCAAGCAAAGGTCCTGGGAACATGAATCCTCGAACTTACCAATATTTACATGTCACTCGCGATAGAAACCATGCTCAATTTGCCTCCATTTTCGAAGAGTCAAGAGGTCTGCACAGATCTCGAAGCTGACAAGGCTCGCGCGCAAATGACTACCGCTTTACCAGGGGACTCATGGTTAATGCTCCATGATCCTCGTATGGTGCAATTTCTTAACAATGAGTACTGGGCCCAGGATCTTGAAAAGTTCGCGCCATATCTTTGGGTGATGTCAACTCACTCAAGTACCAACGTTAACCCGTTGCATCGACAACTTGTCAAAGGGCGCAAGATCATTGTCACGGAGGAACCTCGATTACATTTAGTTTGGTTCCACGATCGTATTTTTATTAAGCCTCTCCCCAAGTATCTGCTCTCGTACAGATTCTGGGAAATGTTTATGCTCAACAAACCTTCGTGCCTGGGTGATCGTCAAGACGGAATCCGACGGGCAGCTTTAGGATACTTGCGGACTTACCGTTACTTGATCCGGCATGAGTCCGACTTTACGATCGCCATGCAAGACCACCTTCGCCTCATTCCACAAGGCGTGGGGTGGGAAGAATTCTGTCGGTTCATTTCTGCTTTGGACCATATCAAAGATCTTGATGTGTCTGGCCGATACAGCTATGGAGAGCTAAGACTCTCGCGTCTCAACTTCTATGCCCCACTCTTCCTTAACAAGTTCCACTTTGAGCAGATTCATGGACAATACGGAGATTATTTTGCTAGGCTTTATGGCCCTATTCTATTCATTTTTGCCGTGGTATCTACGATGTTGAATGCAATGCAGGTTGAGTTGGCAGTCGACCAGGTGTCAGCAGCACATTGGGTCTCATTATGGCCCACGTTCCGCGGATTTACTGCGGTCGTGTTAATTGGGACAATCCTCTTATTCGTCTGTTTTGTCTTTCTTTGGTTGTGGATGTTCGTCGATGAGTGGATATATACCATTAGATCCAGGAGGCAGAGGAGATATGGTCATCAGCCACTTAACTGCTAGAAAGTGGCAGAATGCCTTTGTTGCGAGATAGGTTCACGATAATTCGCCTTGGGATGGAGGCAGCGAGTTTTATAAACACCCTGCTGGTAGCGACGAGCAGGTTTGGTATAGCTTGGATTACATTTCACATATATCTTTGATTCCACTAAAATGGCCGGGACGTAGAAGTACACAGATTCTAAGAAAAAGTATATCAAACATATTCTTGAAATCTAAGAACTAGACCTCCATTTCCCGAGAGAAGGGAAGTTAACATTTCAAGTCCCACTTCTGTATTCCGGGTCTAAAGATTAAGCGATACTAAGGGGGAGCGAGTCATAGGGGTAGGGGTGCGGGTTATCGACACCGGTCCTAGGCTTTGGGGAGACTATAGGCTGGCTGTCCAATCATCAGGTGTATAATCAGCTGACCTACATCGTGTCTGACACCCTGGGGAAAATCTTCTCGTATGCGAGTACACGAGTATGACGTCGAGTAACGAGGACACCGTGGATACGAGATGATCATGCGTGGATGAAGGTCTAGGCCCCTTTCAAGTAGGACGACGCGCCTTAAAGGGTCCAGGTGTATATTAATTTGTCGAGGGAGTTAGCAAAGTTAGTAATTTAAGCAGGTACATGTACAACCGTCCTCTTTCCCTAGATTTTCTTCTCTCCTTTTTTCTGCTTTTCTCTTCTTCTTATAATAAACGCATTCATTACTTCCATGTACCTCACCAGCCCAACCTCTCACATTACTTACCACCCCTCGTTCATTCCAATATTATTCCATACTATACGATGAAGGTCGCTGCATACGCCCTGGCTCTTGCAGCCTCGCTCTCAGGCGCAAATGCGTACTGGTCAGGCTTTAATGCCCTAGCAAAACGCGCTGATGGGCAATGTAAGACCCAGGCCGATTGGGAACAAGATTTCAGGGCGATGAAGAGCCTCCCAGGTGGCTTCACCAGCCTGCGCGTGTATGCTTCTTCCGACTGCAACACCCTCACAAACGCCGTCCCTGCGGCCATAGCCACCGGTGGACATATTCTTGTTGGCGTCTGGACTCAGGACGATAACCACTTCAATGCAGAGAAACAAGCGCTTCTAGCTGCGGTGCAGCAACATGGTTTTGGGTGGGTTGTCGCGGTCAGTGTGGGCAGCGAGGACTTGTACAGAAAGGAGACACCAGCGTGGAGACTAGCAGAGCAGATTCACGATGTCCGTGGTATGCTCTCCACTGTGCTTGGATATACCACAGATGTACAAGTAGGACACGTGGATACTTGGACAGCGTGGGTGGATGGCGCGAATACAGCGGTCATTCAAGCCTGCGATTTCGTGGGGACCGACGGATATCCCTATTTCCAGAATAAGGAGCCAAACAGCATCGACGTGGCATCCAACCTGTTTTGGAACTCGGTCAAGAAAACGAGGGATGTTGTGAACAGTGTAAAGCCGGGCACATGGGTCTGGGTTACGGAGACAGGATGGCCTAGTTCAGGGCCTGTCGAGAACCAGGCCACTCCAAGTGTGGATAATGCTCAGCGATATTGGAAAGAAGTTGCATGCTCCGCTTTTAGCTCCGCACATACCTTCTGGTACTCGCTCCAGGACTTCAATGCTAGTCCTTCCTTTGGTGTCCTTGATGTCAATTTCAACCCGGTTTACAATTTGGCTTGTTAGGAAGAGCGTGAATAATATGGCGCTCGGTCTGGGCATGGGCGGATAGAAGGATGGATACGAACCATGAACAGTAATAGTAATAAATTAGTTAGCTTTAACCCACACTGATGGTCACTACATGACATATTGGCTCCACGACAGCTAGATGAACTTTCCCTGCTACGCGTATGGATATATAATCTTATCTGACATCGTGACTAAACACTCGAACCATTACTCACTTTAAGATCCAGCAGAAGTTTCTCTGTCTTCATACTTACGTTTAAAGTCTGCGGCCAGCAATGCAAGTACCAAATACTATCCGAAGCTAGGCCGGTTTGCATCTCTGAAGCCTAGTTTAGACATGCAATCGACATAACTACCCAGTCCGGTTATCAAAGCAGTAGTCACTCATATGACGGGCCATCGCCTGATAGGCAAATAAGGGCAGTAAACCTCCTAGGCTACTACCTAGGTGCCTCCCTATCTCATACCCTCATAGAATACCATTACTATTCCACACCCATCATACGAACTCGATGATCCCCGACTACTTCTGGACGACCTAGCTTTGACAGGCTAGCATATAACAAATACGAGGATTCGAATTCACTGCTCGACATGGGATTGTAGCTTTAAAATGGAACATTTATTATTGCTGTTGGTGCGAAGTAGTATGAATGCGGTATCTAATGCCGTCTCCTAGAGAGGTTTGCCCAGAGCGAGGCTTTGATAAGAATGTCTCAGTATTGTTGGATAATTTAAGCCCTAGGAAGGTAACTTATGGAGGAACACAACCATCCGCTTTCTCACGAAGTTGCACTAAGTTCTTGCGAAACTCTACAAACGTAATCTTGCTATAACGGGAAACGAATAACGCCTTTCTAAGGAAGTAATATATGTTATTGGCAGATTCCAATTGGCAATCCTCTAAGTTAAACGTTTATTCTTCTTAGAAAGGCGGAGAAGGTGCTAAGAACACATTATACACCTCTAGAACTTGCAAAAAGTTGTATTCAATTGTCAAACCATAGCGGGCTGGAGGGAATGGTGCGGTTTATATCTCCCGATCACTATCAGAAGAGGACGGCTGGTTTGCGGTAATACAATAGGAAATATTGAACACCGAATAGAAGCAAATATCATGATCGAAGTTTTGAAATATAGCACACATGGGAAAACAATCCTAAACTGGGATGGATAAGGGGTATAGGAATAATTTTCTGGTGGAATTGTAGGTATTTTCATCGCAGGCTGTTTTGCTGCTTAGTAAATTAATGCGAGTTTGGCATTAGGAAGAATTATGTAGGAACGTCGCATATATTTTGCCTTCTGATGATGGAACTCGTAGGGCCGCTGTCTAAACTATTAAGACATACGGTTGAGTAGGCAAGATATCCCACCGAGTTGATACTATTATTGGCCTTTCTGTATGTTGACCTCAAATTTTTGCGACTACGAATAGATCAGCAAATGATACAGAAGCATCTAGTGAGAGAATAGTTGAAATACATACCCAAGTAGTAAACTCATCCTCCGCTCCTTTCCAACTTTTTTCGAGTAATTTGGCTGCTGCAATACTCGTACTGACACATTCTTTTATCTTTTGGTCGATTTCTGTCTTGTCAAGTTCGTAGAATGAACTGGCAAGCTCATCCGTGATATGAGGGACTTTGTTCAACAAACTCATGGCAGTGTCCAAGCAACTGATAATCTCCGGGGTTTCCATGGTCGTAGTCCCCGGCTCCAGCTGAACTTTTGAGCGCAGAGGCGGTAGTGTCTTGAGACGCCGCTTCACCAGCGCTTGATACATCAAGATTATGAGACGCAGTCTTTTCAGAGCAGACTCCAACCGAGGTCTGATCTTATTCGGGTCCTCCGAGGGAATATGCAATTGAGAGCCAAATATGTTGTCCATATCATCTTGGCCACCTTTGTCGACACCTTCATCATCACTGTCATCAGCGCGACCTTCGTCGTTATCTTCGTCGTCGGACTGCTCCTCTCCCCATTCTTGCAGCTCCTCCAATGCATCTTTCAACAAATCCCGATATTGTTCCGCCTTTTTAATCATCAGGCCTGCAATGCCCAGCTTTTCCAATTCAATCACCGTATCACAAGCCTCCCAAACTACACCGGTGGACGCCAGACTTCCCTTCCCAACTGTACTGCCCCTCCCATTCTTTTCATCATTGCCCAGGACTTGCCCATTGAGCGGAATAGTTTTTACTAGCGTCGCAAACTCGGAGAACACCTTCTTTGCCCGCCATTGCAACTCGACGCTCATCGCTTTCGTGTATTGTGCGGCATTGCAAAGTTCCACGGCCGAGGCCAGTCCAGGCAACGGGCCAGCAATAAGTTCTCGCAAAACTGTAGAAATTGCAGTGGCTGTAAACGGCTTATTGATGATCAGAAGAGATAGTTTCGTCGAGTGCGCTCGTATCAGAGCCGCTGAATCCTGGGCGAGTTTGAGTGCATCAATATCTGGGACGGAGTCAGATTGGGGGGTTTTATTCTCGGTCCCGCATATTGAGGTTTGCAGTTGAGCGATCACGGCAGACGTGGTCGCAACAATCACCTTCAGGGCAGCCAGATCCTCCTCTAGTTTGGCCATGGTGTTCTTGTTGTAGTAGTTGTTCTTGTTGTAGCTATTGTTGTTGTCAGGCTGAGGGAAAAGTTATGGTGGGGTGCGTGGGGGAATCACAAGCAGAAAATAAAATATCTGGAGCGCCGTAGTTTGTGCTGCATGGTGGACCCTCACTACCCTGGCGCCGCGACGCGAGCAACTCATCAACTCACACTTTACATACATTCAGCGGGCACAGAAGACTCAAGGCTATCACTATCATGGCCCCGGCTAGTCGAAGGTCAGCGGCTAAACCAGCGGGCCCAGCACCGCCAACACGAACCCTCATCATTGACAATGGCGCCTACACGTTGAAAGCCGGCTTCTCCTCCCCATCGTCCTCATCCTCTGCTACCAGCACCGAACCCCACAGCTCGGACTCTCCACCAGATGTTGAATCGAAGCCTTCCATAATTCCCAACTGCCTGGCTCGCGACCGTGAGAAGACGGTCTATATTGGCTCGCAGCTCTCGAAATGTAGAGACTTTGGAGAGATTGTCTTCCGCCGCCCTGTCGACAAAGGATATCTGGTGAACTGGGAGGCAGAGAAGGAGATCTGGGAGCATGAGTTCTTCGACAAAAAGGCGCCACTTCACTGTGATCCTACAGAAACTGGATTGATCCTGACCGAAGCGCCAAACGCCCTGCCGCAGCTACAGACCAATTGCGATCAGATGGTGTTTGAAGAGTTTGGTTTTGCGAGCTATTATCGGTGTACTGGTGAGTGAGCACTACGAAGAAGAGATGCCAACCAATGAAGAAACCGGGACTGACGGCCGATGCGATTGGTTTTATTTTGCAGCACCTACGTTGAACGCCTATAATGACATCCAAACTATGTTCCCGATTCCTATTCCAACCCGCAATATGGCCAAGCCGCAGCTCCCGGCCGAGATCCTTCTCCTCATCGACTCTGGCTACTCGCACACTACCATAACCCCCCTTCTCGAGGGTCGTCCAATTCAATCCGCTGTCCGTCGACTTGACGTGGGGGGCAAGCTCCTAACGAATTATCTGACCCGACTACTTTCGCTCCGCCAGTATGACATGAGGAACGATACATATCTAGTTAATGAGGTTAAGGAAGCATGCTGCTATGTCTCTAGAGATCTCAAAGCAGATATGGAACGGACCTGGAAGGGTCCTAAGGGTGATCGTAGGGAAATATATGCGACGGGTGGAGGAATAGCGAAGGACTACATCCTACCCGACTACCATAATCGTTCCAAGGGCTACGTGCGTGATCATGAGCCAGCGGCTGCCGGAAAATTGAAAAATTTGACAACTGGAAAATCAGCCGAGGCGGCAGAGGATATTTTGACGCTGCGGAACGAGAGGTTTACTGTCCCGGAAATCCTATTCAACCCTACTGATATCGGAATGAAGCAATCTGGGATACCCCGACTGGTGATGGAGAGTTTGTCATGTATCCCCTTCGGACTCTGGCCTGGATTCCTAGCTAACATCCTTGTTGTGGGAGGAAATGCAAATATTGAAGGATTTATGTTTCGACTTGAGATGGAGATCAGAGCATTGGCGCCCGCTGAATGCATTGTTAGAGTTGGCAAGCCAGCAGACCCGATTATCAGCACTTGGCAAGGTGGTGCAGCATTAGCTAAGGATGCCAATGCTCTTAGCAAACTATCAGTCACGAAGCAGGAGTATGAAGAGCACGGAGCTGCATGGGTAGCTAGGAAGTTTGATGGGCGGTGAGAGATGACTGGCTGCAATCCCATTGCATAAGGCAAACCTAGAAGTGAATTGTGTCTGTACTGCCTTCGACGTGGTCCACACCGCTATCAAGTGTTCGGCCCGTTCTCTAACTGCAAATGATGGCCCGTCGAAGGCCTCAACATAGGCACGGCAATGTCATCGGATGCGATCCCGCATGCCAATATGGCGTTCCGGAATTCGAAGCATTGAGGACACGGCGTTTGAAGGTGTTTTGCGTGGCGTTTCCATTAGCAATGCTCTATGATGCGTCATAGGACTCTAGAATTGCCTACGACGTTATGTTCTAAATACCGCTGGACTCTCGAGGTGTTGGCCTACGGTGATATAGGTGCAGCTTCTCGAGCAATTGGACCAGGGTGTCCGTACTGTCCGAGACTCCATGAATCTGTATTTCGTATGATTAACCAGCGAGTATTTCGCGATTACGCTTGGCCACCTTGGGCAGTCAACGACGCCTGGACCGTCGGAAGTGTTATAACCGACAAACATTAACGTTCATCCGATGGTGGCCTAAATACAGGGAAAGAAAGCCATAGGAGGGTCTAATGGCTCTCAGGGCGCATTAACGCCCGGCAAAGCATATGCTCAGATCGCATTCGGCACTTTCGCGAGTTAGGTTTAGGAGCAGGAACCACCAGTTTCCAAATGCCGTGCATGCTTCTTGAAGCTCCTCGTATACGTCCATAGGCAGTGTTGCAATATGATCGTCCCAACTTTCTCACACGCGCTTGCCTTCTTCCTCCGTTGAATAGAACAATTGTTTGCAGCGTTCCTTCTAGAGAAATTCGTTAGTTTATTACACCCAGTTGCTTTTGCTATACATTTGCTCCATTTGCTCACCCACTGGCCATTGTTGTTTTCCGGAAATCTGATATGCCGGGGTTACTTCGGGGTTGGACCCTTAAACCTTATCTGTCTCACTCGAAGATCGTGGCCCAAGCGTTCCGACAACAAAGCTCCCTCGCGTCATGCGTTGCCTGACATATTGGTGCACGCTGTTATTTATTAATCATCGGAACTCAATAAGGTTTCAGTTGCCCACTCCACGGTCAATTCACGCTGGTGTATTGCATCTGCCGGGATTGCCTGTTCTGATCGCCGCTGGCATCGGAAACCTGACTTGTGCAGAAAATGCAGAAGAGGCAATATTTCGTTAGAGCCCCTTGCTCCCTTTCAGGCAAAGGGGGTCGAGCAGTCTCGGCAGATATCTGTGCCTGACTAAAACCTACATCGTCAATCAGACGGAGCATGGGGGCTCACCACTGCTTGTACGCCACCTCCCTAGAAACCTTAAAGTTATCTTGCTACCTCACATCTTGCTCCTCTTTGTCTCTATCTGTAATTGCCTTCATTTTGGAACGTTTGTTTTTAGAAATAGCCAAGTTCAGGCTCCGCACTTTTTCAGGATCAGCACTAAGAAGCCAGGTCACTGAGTGACCGGTCGTGATGATTAATGATGGCGAGAACCTCGTTCCTACAGTGGACCCACAGCAGCGGTCATGTTTAAGGAGGAGATATTTCTGGCTTGCTATCATACGGACTCTGCAACTTGTACGCCATCCAAATTGCAAAGCGCTCGAATATGCTGCTAAAACTGGACTAGATGTTGGGATTTATAGCACTATGTCTCACGGATTTTGTTGTCCATGTATTTGGCGGCGACTACGTATGTCATTGTATCTCTCCAACCTCTCGGAAATGGTACTGATAAATTGCTACTAGTTCCACACTTTTAGTAAGCTTTCAAAAGGTGGTGAGATCTTGTGCGAATGCTCATGCAAAGTCTAGCTTTGACCATGGCCACTTTCCTGTGGACTGTCGTAATGATGGGCTATGTAAGTTGGCAGACATTCACTGTCCCCAACTCTCCCGAGACTTGCAACTAATCAATCACCGGGCAGATTTTCATCATACCTCAGTGGCTTCCCAAATTTTATAATTATTGGGTTCACTTGTGCGCTTCCCACTGCTCATACCCTCCTCGATCCTTCACTAACCCAGTCAGCATCCTGGAAGCCATCACCGTGATATTATGGTTAACGTCTTTTTCTTTCCTCATCTGGGAATGCCAAACTTGGGATGGAGCGCAAAATGCCATTAGCGACGTATTCAGTCAGGAACTTGATCTCATCAGCACAATTCCGAATGAAGCTTCTGCTATCACGGGATTGAGGGTTGCCACGGCGTTTACGTGTATGAATTGGATGTTGTTTGGGGTGACGCTCGTTATGTCTAGTAAGCCCAAATTTTCACGTTCTCTCGACTCTGAAATCGAGCGAGCCCATAGCACAGTATTCTAGACCTGTGCTAACTCGTCTATTAGCACGATGACCTTACAAACTGTGATATATATCGGACACGGGATGCTTCGATATGGACGGCCTAATCAACACCTCCGAGCCATTTCACTGCGCCGTACCGATCTTCGGATTCATTTAAATATGTGATTCTATTAAAGTGCTGGATTTCGGACATAATGAGCAAGTCAAGTCACTACGTGGGAATAAATGGTCAGGAGAATCTCATACCGCGGTTACAATTATTCTCAGGATGCCATGATACGAGGTTATATAATTTCAATCTCTTGATTTATCGGAGTACTGGCAAGATACTGGCGTTGATCGGGCGGTTTGCGCGGCTTAATGGCGTTCAACTGGTTTGATCTAGAAAGCACAGCGCCGCGAATACAGGAACGGGTGGTTCAGCAAACTCTGCGTCAAGCGCATGTCACGTTTTTAAAATATTGGACGGGTTTACTAGGAAGAACATACGTGGGGTCAAGGTTACAATTCAAAAATTAATAGAAGATACCTATATTCAAATATTCAAGTTTTGTACTTGCAAAATCTATTTTCATACGTCAAAGTCACTATAAACCGAAAAGATGAAGTTGAGGAGTCATGCGTTTTGAATGATGAAATATTGCCATAAGGGTCTCACGAGTCAATCACATCATAAGTATCATCTAAAAATATAGAAGCGGAAGTCATATCTATACTCTGGTATCTTCCCTACATAAAGGGCAGCCAACCAACTCCTCGCTATGCATGTCTAGTAACTCGTCTAATTCAACATCAAATGCCTGATCTATAGACCATTTCATCGCATTCTTGGCGCCCAGTTCTGGAGCCATTGTCGGGCGGCGTCGAGATTTCCCGTCTCTGCTTCACAAGCAGCTATGCACCATTCAAAATCAAAATTCTTCTCCGCGGCCAGAATTTCCGCCAACTTCCTCCGCTTCTGGCTGGTACTATCCACGCAAAAGTACATCGGCGAGGTCCGATCACCATAACTTTCCATCAAGGGTTTCACCATCGGTAATGCCTCCTGCGTAGATAATGCACTACTTCCTTTTCCAGTTTTGGCCTTCGCCGTCTTGCACCACTCATTAGTGCAAGAAGCTTGGCCACAGCCCTTGATGAGCTGGGCCAAATATCTCCGCTCAACGCGTCTTTTCAAAGCTTTGCCCTCCGGGTCATGCATACTGACGTATAACGGCCCGAAACAAATGCTGCATAACCCGAGATCGTTTCCAGGCCCTTGACCCATCCGGCTAGCGGCGCCAATTTCTCCGTTTTTGCCCACTCCATGAAGTGTACGTCCGCAGTTCTCATTGCGGCAGATCTCCGGTATAGAGCGAGTGGATTTCTCGAGCTCATGATGGCGAAGATGGGTAGCCATGTCGCGTAACCGAACAATTTTAGAGCAGAGATGGCAGTCAGTTGTTCTTGCACCATCGGCTAATTCGTGCGCCGTGAGGCCAGAAATAAGGGATTCTGGAGACGGGTCGAAAGGGTCGCCTTCCTGGGGAACCTCGAGGTGGCAGAATTGGCATAAAATCAACTTGCCGGGGCAAACAGATGTCCTGTGCCTAGCTAAATCCATGAGACTAGGCGCTTCATAAGGACAGCCTGGACATTGGTGGGGTTTATGATATATATCATCATGCCTTGATTTGCTCGAAGGGGTGTTGCCATGCTGGGAATCATATGGGCAATGCCAGTGATTTTCCCACTCTTCGGATTTCTTCTGGAAAACATTCGAGCAGTGTGGGCATATGATATTATTCCGGAGACAGAAGTTTTCGTGGAGCATCATCGTTCGCTTGGGAACCCACTGGTGGCAGTTTTTGCATTGTTCCTCATCTGGCCCATGCATTTTCGTGTCTTCGTCTTCGTCGATCGCGACTGGATTGGAAGAAGACCCAAAGCTATTGTTTTTGGGTATTGATTGTGATCGAAGCGAGAACTTGTGAAGTCTGGGAGTTTCACTATCGGCGTTCGCGCTAGCATGCACAGAAATAAACAATGCTTCTGCATTTTCTAATTCAATATTGGAAGGTTGGATAGTAATATTCCTTGATGTCTGAGAGCTGAAATCTGCAAGAACATGCTCATCACGTCGTGGCCTTGCTCGTTGGCGCGGTGAAAAGGGACTAGCAAATAACTGAAGATTCTCCCCATCCTCAGTAGATAACTCGATATCAATGGCCTGCGAGCGGTCCCAAGACGGAAGTTGGTAATCAACATAATCGCCATCCAATACCTGCCCTATGGTTGGATTCCATAGATTCAAATCTCCGCCGACAGATGTGCCTTCTGATGTTCCCGGAGCTTTCTGTGCTTTTGCCATAATCTGTTTGAGCGTTTCCCGTGCCTGCTCTTCATTCAGAGCCTCGATATCCACCTCTAAATCTGTATCGACAACACATATTCCGTCCCCATCGGGAGTGATCTTGTCAATCAGAAAGCGGAATTCCTCAGTCTTTGATCCACGAACTGTCAAGATGCCCCCATTTGTCAAAGTGGTGAAATTCTCCCGCATATGCCGTTCCAACAATGCTTTCCAATCTTCCGGATTATACCCCGCTTCCAGCGGCCGAAGCCTGACATAGGTACCCTTCGGGAGTTGCTGCGCATGTATGGTGACCCGCGGTACGTTGTCATCGTCGGCGTTGGTAAGGTCGATGGGCTGGTCTGGCAATCCGGAATCACTCGAGTGTACGGAGGCAGGTTTTGACTGCGATTTCGGCGGAGGGATTGAAATTCCCAGCGCCTCTAATAGAAATGGGCTCAATTCCACCTCCCCCTCCACGGCTGAGAATTCCCGTATGCCGGCATATACCACATTCCCGTTCTCCGTATTTACCAACCGAAAGGTCAGCGGGTGTGGAAGCTGTTGCTGCGTGTCTCGCCATTGAGATTGTTCTGCTCGTGCTGCGGCAAGGGAGTATGGATTGAATGGGTCGAAGGCCGAATTAGTTTGTCGGACGTTTGAGGTGACAGTCACCGTCGATACGGCGAGGAGCTGCTCAAGGGCTGACTGAGGAAGAAGGATTTTGTCGCCGGGGAGTGTTTTGTTACTTCTGTCCGCCACTCTAAAAACGGAAGACCATTTGAGGGTGATTTCCGGTGTTGGAACTGTCATGATGTCGTAATGTCGTGTCGGACTTGAGAACAATAAGGTCTCCGGCTCAGGATGTGCATGTGCATTTCCAACAAGCAGAACAGGTAGATCAAGCGCGAGCGCATAGAAAAGTAGGGGACGAAGGGTCTGAGATAGTGTAAGTTATGGCTATATTGGGGTGTGGCAATATTTACCTAATATTTCACGGTGTTTAGGTTCTTGTTTTGTCAGATCGCATCGCAGGTTCGAGAACATGCTATTGCTGTTCGCACGTGACTAACACGATAAGAGATACCTAGGTACAGTATGTAAGCGATAAGAGATAAGATAGCGCGATAAGATCGTACAGAATGTACTGTAATGTAGTCAATGTTCACTGTTATCCATAACAACACTTAATATGTTTAAAAGACTAAGGAGCGGTACCGCTTGAGCGTTAGGGCCTCAGAAAGTAACTTTTGAGCCAACCTACGATATTGTTAGGCATACCTGGTGTTGGTAGAACTTCTTTTGTTCTTCGCAGGGAGATATGTCGGCCGGCTGAATACCGGCACAACCCCCACTTTAACCAGGTACCTAGGTACATAGGCAGCTATTCCGTCTCTAGAGCGTCTCTTATAACAACATCATACATCTATTGATATACGAGTTAATGCCTGCTGGTGGACTTTAGAACCCATGGCGGACCACGCTACATCTCCATCCCAACCTTGCCAAACCACCCATGATGAACATAAACTCCCTTTGACTCTACTACAATTACTATCGAACACAGTAATCATATATCAATCTGCTCCATACCTGCCAGTCTACTCCCTATTGGCCCTCGGTGCCACTTCCAAAGCATTCCAATCCCTTATTCACCATACACCGGGCGTCTTCAGGCATCTCGATCTTACGCGCTGCAAGGCTGCCCAGTTCGATATCGCCCCGATCGATCATGGTGGGGAAGTTTGGCGCAATGTTCAGCTAGACGAGAATCTCACCGAAGACGAGTCAGTACCCAAATCAATCTTACTCTGGATGCGATGAGATAGATCTATGTTAATAGTATGGTAGCTTTTACGGCGGGCCCTTGCTAGGCATTTTCCACGCGCTTCGACGGCAGAACATTCTCCAGGACGTCCATACCTTGATCCTTGATGGCCTGTCCGTGACATCTGACCTAGTTCAGGAAATTATATGCCACGACTCCTTCAATGTTCGTATCCTATCTATTCAGAATGTCCGATATCTCAACGAACGGAAGCTCCAGCAAGTGCTGCGATACGTTATCCGCCCCACCAGGCCGCCAAATGTCCCAAGACTAGAAGGCTTGTACCTCTTCGGCACCAGTGGAGATATGTCTCCCACTGCTAGTAGAAGGACCAATCCCTTATCCGCCTCTGGAGATAGCATTGATACGGAGGGTGGTGGTGCCCAATGGTACGGAAAGAGAGGAAGGGTAGTTAAAAAGTCTCAGCACATTGGGTGGGCAAGCACTATTATGGCGTGTCGTGGGATCATTAGTTTCGACACCGTTGCTTGTAATGGCCCTAGACATTGGCCACCTGTCACTGCGACAGATGGCGAGGGACCAATCCCATGGTACAGGCTCCGAGCAGTGTATGTTCAACCACAAATTGCTGTTTATGCGGTTGGGGGCTGTTGCAAGTGCAACACTGCCCCCGAGGGGCTTTCTGAATTTGGAAAATCTCCCTTGGAGAACTTTCCTCTATTGGCTCCACATCCTCTTCACACTTCGACCGTTAGGTCAGCAAAAACCCCAACCGAAGACGCTTCCGACATGAAGCTCTTGGTAAGATGCATCGAATGCCTTCGCAACCGATACTGTGATAGTTGTCATAAATGGTGGTGCGAGGATTGCTATGAGACTCCAGAACATGCACCGAATGACACCGGCCCACTACATTTTCGGGAAGCAGGTGAAAACATGCTTGATGGGAACCAACCAACGGCTGCTAAGGTATATACTGATTTTTCTTTTGGCTTAAACTGGAAAGCTTATCACTACCTGGCGAGAAGTGATATGATGTTGCTAGGTTGACTCGAGCGGCTTCTAAGCAAAGCCTATGGGTTGCCTTAGTTTCCTTTAGGGAGATTAGATTTTGGATCCTGCTAATATGCCCGCAGCCCGGAGTCATACGAAGCTGCTTCGAATGCGGCTTTATTGTAAGTGCAGATTTTTCGGTATCTGTATAGGCCACACTAATAGCAGCAGTGCGAAGAGTGTACCAGGCGGAATGAACTCATATGCAAAATATGTGGCGGTGCATATTGTGGAATCCATAATAAGGGGTCTATGTTGATAACGGCCCGTGTAATCAGTGGCTGCAGGTGTTAATGCAGCCCAACATGTACATTAGAACCTGTAAGAATATTTCCTAGGCACCTGATAACCCAGGGTGAGCAGCTGACGGTATCTTTAGTGTGCTCATAGGGTAGTCTCCGAATGACAGGCGCAATAGGCTGATACTTCTTCAGCTCACCCAGGTTTGTCGAGCCCAAAGATTGGGCCTAGTTAATTAGCTAGGAGTGGAACAGCCGTTTGATAGCCTTACAAGTAGCGAGTTGATTATATGATCCCATCGTGCCTAGTGGGCGATTTATCTTGACAATCCGATTTAATTACTGTGGTTTACGGGGATATAATAAAGCGGAATCTCTTAGAGGTTAACTTTGTACTCTACCTGGACCAGAAAACCAATAAGTTTTCTGGTTAACGACTAGACTCATAAAGTGCCGATTATCTAGCTTGCTACTACAAGGACCCAAACGCTAAGTTAGCTTATTATATGGTGCCACCACTCTACTTAATTCCCTTTAGCTAGCTTTCACATATTACTACAGCAGAAAGCAAGGCGGATCATATATCTATATGACATCAACACGGCACTAACGAATTCATTTCTTGAGTAAGATACAACAACTACCAAAGTTGACTGCATAAAATAATATAAACAAGTGTTTCCTGTAGTTCACAAATGCTGTGATTGCCCATGTATATATCCCAAGTGGAAAAGCAGTTGCCTAACGCCCCCATCCATAATAAAATCTAATGTATTTGTGCCCCCCTTCATTTTTCACATTTTATATTCATCCTCTCTTAACGACATCGCCCCAAATGCATGCCGCACAATCTCAGTGCCGCATGCGATTGTCTGCGCAGCTCCCAACCCGTCCTCGCCAGGCTCTTCGAGCGGGTTAATCTCGACAAGGTCCATACCCACCATATTGCGAGTACGATGTACGCCCTGGGCGATGAGTAACGCTTCATGCATAGTCAAGCCTCCAGGAACAGGTGTTCCTGTTGATGGAGCCAATTCAGGATCAAGCGCATCAATATCGAAGGATAGATGAATGGGGGTGTCTCGGCCGATATATTCGAGGGTATCTTTTAGGACTCGTTCAATACCCAATCTGTCATAAAAGTCAATATGAATGTGGCTATATGGGATGAATAGGCAGCAAAGCAAGAATAAACGTACTTGTGGACATCAACTCGAGTATAGGCCTTGATGCCATACTGTTCAATAATCTGCTGCTCAGCCTCTTCCACATCCCGCAACCCAATATAGACCAGTTTCTTAAGATCAACAACCGGTGTCCTGCCACCGTGTGCCTTACTCTGCAGCCAGCCAAACGGCGTGCCCGGCGCTGTCTGTGCTAGTGAAGCCAACATTGCCAACGGCATACCGTGGATATTTCCGCTATCGCTAGTTTCTGGAGTATTAATGTCGGCATGGGCATCCACCCAAATGACTGCGATATCCTTGCCCAGCCGTTCTCTAGTGGCCCGAGCTACGCCTGCTACAGTTCCAATGGCAATGCTATGGTCGCCTCCTAGCGTCAGAACGCATCGATTCTTGCGTGCCTGCTCGTAAACTTGATGGGCTAGCGCCTGAGTAGCGATCGAGACCGCCAGCGGTCGCTTCATGTTTCTGCTATCGGCTTCAAACTCTGGAACCATATCTTCATACGTATGAATCTTATGGTCATGATGTAGTCTGATTCCGAGACCATAGTTTAATTCTTCAAGAAGTCCACAGCCGATGATCGCGGCCGGGCCCATATCAACTCCTTGCTTGCCCTAAAGGAAGTTAGTGAGTGACACTGGTTGTGCATGAGAGTCTAGTTAGTGCTTGGTTTGCGCACCTGTCCGCCAGAGAATCCAACAGCTATCACCCCAACACTACTTGGGCCAATGGGTAGATCATCTTGCGGCCATACAGCTTCTTCAGTCACAATAGGTGTTTTGAGAGGATGCCTTAGCTTGGGTATCACTGGCATTTGACCAACAAAAGTAGCCATATTTGATTGTCTCATGAACCAGCAAGTAGTTGGGAATGTTTGAACTTCGGAAAGATATTTAAACCAATCTAGGATAAAATTAGCCAGCGAGCACTGCAAATACAAGATAGACGATACCTTAAGAGTTAAATAATTGCGGAAACGAGCTGAAGAGTCATACGACTTGAATTTCTGGGTGAAGTGTTTTGTGAGAAGCTGTTTTGGAGCTACGGCAGGGCAGCCCTTTCATGGCGTGCTAATTCTTTGGATTGCTAATGCTCCTAACCATACGTAATACTTCGAGAGCTAATATCTGACAACGCGCGGCAAACGGAAGCTGAGGCGTCCGTCCTGAAACCGGATCCATTGGTCCCTCCGTAGCAATCTTTCCGGTGCTAGTACTCTAAACAAATCAATAGCTGAGAAGGCGGTAATTCTTCGGGGGTCGTGAAACTTCCAGAGAACAGGCGAATAAACATATCATGCTCATAAGCAAGAGGGCTTAGCAAGGCTGATCCGTATGTCAATACCCCGGCGGTGAACGGATGAACATTCTAGATTTAACATGATTGCTTGCTGTATGACATGGCGAATTGTACCATAATACTACCATGCTGAGCGGTGGAGTTTCAGTGACATGACAAGGTGGTAATGGAGGGATCACACTTGGGGATCAATTCTAGAATAGTGAAGATCGTGACTGCCGCGTGAGCATGCTGTGCCCCGGCCTTGTATAAGCACGACATCGCTGAGGATGATGTCCTTCAACTTGTCAAGGGCACCTACTATGGAAACGAAAAAGAACCTTATTTCTCACACCGTTACCCTAAATTATGACAGTCAGAAAGCAACGTACCTACCTGAAACTATACGTATTACTTCGCAGCGGTCTTATTTTAGGCTACTTGATGCTCCATTCTTAAGTCAATACCTCACCAATAGGATGCATTTATACAACCCGCTGGGATGCATCTTGTCGCCGCAGTGTCACCCCGGAAAGACCGTGGGATCTGAATCCTTCCTAAATATATAATATATGTTAGGTAACAGCATCAGAGTCAGATTTCTGGAACGTTTTGGAACAAGCACTTTAAAAACCCCACCATGTAGGTACGAGATGCAAGGGACGGGACGTTTTCGTTGCTGGTGTGATTAGGCTTCGGGATTTGCATGCCACGTGCCAGGATCTGATCCTCCTGGGTACGGTGCCTATTCTCCCGATGTCGTTCGTAAACTGTCAATCATTTTGAAATTCTGACTGTACTTGTGCGACGTTGGGTGGGACATGGTTGTGCGGAAGACCGATCGATTTCTTTGAGCGGCCGATCGCGCCTCTACAGGGATATACCCTAGGCCGGATATACAGAGCCGCTTCAGGGACGGATAGGTTTTACGTAGTATACTACTCATTAGAGACATCAAAAATGGCATATGATAATACAAGGTTTCGGCATTCGCAATGTTTCTCGCCCCCGAGTCGCGTCCTTTGCCGAATTAAGCTGTCAGCCAATGCCTTGTGGGGCTTTTCACAGTAATTTAGTAGAACTTAGCGTTATGCGAAGACTTAATTCATATGGAAATAATAGTTTATATATTTTACAGCTACTACTCAGGTGCTCTTATATAGTAAAATAATGATTACAACTATCTCTTAATTCCGTAGTGTTGTCGAAGGGGAACGCAAGGAGTTCGCTTAGCTTAGGGGTAACCACTACAATAATGCCAAGTCCAGGTGTTGGTTGTAATTAAATACACTGTATTATATACGCCCTTTTAATGCCACCAACTTTTATGACCGTAGTCTAATTCTATATTCTATGCACAGAGAAGCATCACTCATCACTCCCATTTTCTGAAGAACGGTCAGACCGTGCTGAACTCTCAAATAGCCGCTTAAAAGCTGAGCCCTCTCTGACGAGGAGCGCTTGGGGAGCATCGAATTCCACTACTCGGCCCTTATCAAGGATGGCGACCTTGTCAAAGTCGAGAATCGTATGCAGCTTGTGCGCTATAGCGATGATCGTCTGGTCTTCAAATTTCGAGCGGATAACCTGCTGCATGAGCTCGTCCGTCTCCGAGTCAACACTTGAGTATAGTTAGTAAATATAATGCAACATTCCAGTAAATGCGAGATAAAACGAACCTGCTCGTGGCCTCATCCATAATCAATATAGAACTGGTCTTGCATGTGGCGCGAGCCAAGCAGAAGAGTTGTCGTTGCCCGTGTGAGAGGATGTCTTCAGAGAGCTCCATATCCAATCCGCCTTTAGCCTCGATGAAATCCCAGAGGCGGACAGATTTAAGTGCATCAATAATTTTCTCATCTGTCTCGCTACCACGTGGGTCCATATTCAAACGCACATCGCCATGGAGGAAGAAAGGCTCTTGGGGAAGTGTGTTCAATCGACTGCGAATCTCGTAGCGGGAGATTTTTGATATGTCAACCCCGTCAATTGTGATCGATCCTTTGTCCAAGTCCAGCATTCGAAGGACTGTGGAGACCAAAGATGATTTACCACTATTATTTATTAGCACTAACAAGTAATACGTGTAGATTTGAAAACTCTTACCTGCCAGTTCTACCGCAAAGCGCTATCTTCTGACCTGGTTCGATTAGAAGATTAATATCTTTCAGAACCGGTTCCGACGAGGACCTGTCACTTGTTAGTGGAGTTCCAACTTTCCATGAGTCAGAGGCTAAGCAATAAACGTACTGATAGGATGCTGAGACGTTGTGAAATTGAACCTGGCCATCCTTTGGCCAATGTTCTGGAATATCGTCGGTCTCCGACACTTGATCCTCCGGCTGAGTACGCACTACGTAAGCGCGGATCCTCGAAACAGCTCCAATGGCGGTCTCTAGCAGAGTCCACTCCGTTATTAACTGCTGCAGACTGCCACTAAAACTGACGATGCTGAATAGTGCGACTCCTAAGAAGCTCGACGACACCTTCCCTTTCAGAGTTGTAGCAACAGCTACTACCAAGGTGGCAATACATGCAACTAGAAGATCTAGAACAAGATTAAGCCATCTCTGGATACAAAACATGAGATAGTACGGTTTCTGCGATGCATCAAGAGCAATCTTGTTCCGGCGTTGATATTCTGCTCCCCATCCATAGGACCTGATAGTGGGTAGGCCGCTTAAGGCCTCTAAGAATTGAGAGAAAAGGGGAGCTTTAGCTTCGATATCTAGAAACCGGAGCTGGCGGGAAGTTCTAAGGTAGAAGTTCTGGACGAAGTATACAACGATTATGCAGACGGGAATGCAGGCTGCAACATAGGACGAGCCAACAAAGACCAAGACTCCTTCCGCGATGCAACTTAACCCCGCTATAATCGTGGATTGGAAAGCCTCGGGAAGTTCCATGTCAATTAGTTCAAGATCTTGACTGAATCTATGAACGCCTCGGGTTAGCAGTGAAGGCAACGCACAAAATTAATGGAGACGGGAGAGATGAAGAGGGATATGAAGGAAGGGGGTACTAATCAGTACACATACCGGTTGATAGTATTTCCAAGGTCGGTCGAAGTGAGAAAGGAGGTTGTCGCCCTGATTAGTCAAACATTAATACTTGGCAGTGTACACTCCAAGGAGAAACTTACCCCATCGTAGTGGTGAGCAATAAATCATGAAACCTTCTTGCCGTTTTGGGCACAATTCTCATAGAGAAGAGCCTGTAGATATGCATTAATAAATATGAGCAAGATGAAACGAGTAGCCATACGCACCAGTTTCCACCAAATGTGGCAAACATTGTTAGTCCACCTAGCCCACCATATACGCCAAGCCAGTAACCGATACGCTCATTGGGGTGTTTCTCATTAGCTTCTGTCCACCACTGCAACCAGACCTCTACCGCAGCTGTTAGAAAAAGGGATGGAAATAATGGGCGTAGTATAGCTTACGAGGGAATGTCAGGCCGAACACAAAGACCATGCAGGAAAAGATTAACAGCACCATAAAAGTTGGCCCTACAGCATGGAAGTAGTACAGATAGACGGTGATGTCACCTGTTTGGCGGTCTGATTCGTGCGTTTCCTCATCGGAGAGATTCAATTCCTGCAACGTCTCATCGGTGAGCTCCACTTCCGGTGCTCTGGACGTTGAAGTAGCTAGAGGCTGAGTAGAAAGATTTTTCACATAGGCGCTTTGTCCAGAAATTTCATCGGACGAGCCTTGCTCCACAAGGTGGCCATTGTTGTCGAGAACCATGATATAATCCGCACACGACAAATGACGAGCTAGATAACACTTTAGCACGACCCATCTGGAAATTTAGTATAGAGGGGATTGCATACGTGTATTGGTAGCGAGTACTACAGTTGTTTGAGCCGCCTTTATTAATCCTTGTTCGCCAAAGACGGAACGCAAGACGAATAGCTCGGTGGTGCGGTCCAGGCCAGTAAGGACATCGTCAAGAATCATTACAGGTTCTTTCGAGTAGAGAGCTCTTGCTAGGGCCTAGATAACTCCGTCAATATATTTACCCACGCTTGCGTAGCTTGGATTCACACTCACCACTCGTATTTGCTGTCCGCCGCTAAGTCGCGATCCTCGTGTACCAACCTTAGTTTGATCGCCATCGGGGAAGTCCTGAATATCGGTATCCAGAGCACATGCTTGAACAACAGTATCATACCAGGGCTTATTCCAGATCGATCCCCCTAAGATATTTTGTTGAATAGTGCCAAATGTTATCCAGGGTGACTGATAACAGTAGGCTGCGTTTCGGTACGATGTGGCGACGGACCCCGACACTTCAGGGAGCTCTCCAATCAACATCTTCAAAAGAGTTGATTTGCCGCAGCCGACTGGACCAACAAGCATGGTCGTTTTTCCACGCCTAATTTCGAAGTTTAGATTCGTAAGAAGAGACGGTTCATCACTCGACCAGCCTGCAGATGCATCTCTAACAACAGCACAAATGTCCTGATTATCTAGAAGCGATTGCAGTTGTACGGTAGGGAGACTCTTCTTTTCGGTATTTGTCCCTTCATCCTTCTCATCAATAGACGCCGATGTAGTGGAGGAGGCTCCGCCAGGGATTTCCCGGCAGTCGACGCGTTCCTCCTCGAGAAGGTGCGATTGGATTCGTTGAAAGCAATTAACTACAGTCATCAATTCTTCCACTCCGTCGACAAGCGCAACCATAGGCTTGTCTAAGAGAGAGAAGAGTGTGAGGGCAGAAAATGCGATGCCGTTCGTCAAGGTCGTGGTAGAATGGGCTCGTGCTAGGAGGATATACAGGCCAAAGCCAAAGACTGGCGCCAAGGCGGAAGAGGCATAAGCTATAGTTCAGGTCAGCGGCTATCATTCTGCACATGAGGGAATAGGAGAATAAATCATGCATACATAATGTCAGGACAAAGACTGTGTACAAACGGAACAGACCGGAGGCACGAATCTCCAGCTCTCGCAGCCTTGCCACGTTCTCGGATATTGGGCGGACTAGGCCCGTCATTTTGATTCCTTTCATACCCCCGAGTACCTTCGATGTCACAGCAATGCGCTTCTCAATTGCTTCCAGCCATTGACCTTGGGCATTACCAGCAGCAACAGCGATTGGCATGCCAGCTATAAGGCACACTGAGATTATGGTTATTAGCTGGCCTAAGAAGGAATTAAACACCAGGGGAGCTCACAAACAACGAATACAGTCGACGCGGCCATTGCAACACCAAGCAACCTTTCCAACAACCATAGCGCTAACGCAAGCTCAATTACGCTTGAATACATCTCGTGCATTTCGCGTAGGCCAGATCCGATGCGCTCAATATCCGCACTCATCAGCGTCACCGCCTCAGCATCGGAAACAGCGGAGGCGCTGACCTGAAGTGTCTTGTCGAAAATCATCGGCAGCAAGCTGCCACGGATCATAGTTATGACGCGATAGGTCTTATGCTCATACAGGGCATATGAGAACTATAAGACGAGTGTGTCAGCTCGCAGCTGGGTTTATCTTCGCGCAAATATTTGAAGACTTACGGAAATGCCAAAATATACTAGGGCATATGCGCCAATGAGCCCATATGCAATATTTGATGAGTTGATGTGTTTAGGCTCGTCAATAAAATCAAGCACACGTTGCACAAGGAAGGGCTGTGCGAAGTTGAATGCTGTATAGGCTAGTCTGGGGTAGACGCCAGCCAGGAGCTGCCATTTGAAATGAATAGCAAATGTCCACAGTAAGGCATTTGGCCCAGACTTGTCAGCTGCAAAAGGGAAATCAGCACACATATATGATGAAGATATAGCTGTGTTAGCATACCTTTATTCCACCTCTGCGCTATGCTATGGGTGTCAGACGCAGAAATGATCTCCTCATCCAGCGGCAAGAGCGTGTCAACAGTCAATAAGGACTTAAATCCTCGCCAGAAAAGATCTTTCAGCCACCAGAATGTACTTCGGTTGAAAATGCCTCCTGTGCTTTCCGGCGCGCTATTCTCATATGGCCGTTTCAATAGCGCACGCTTCTCCTTAGCCTCTAGAAGGAGGATAAGCAGCTTAAGACCAAAGCTTGAACTGGTGATGGCAGCCACTGCTAAGTTCCCAGGCATGTACCACAGAGTCCTGACCCGCGCAATATCGAGCAGTGCAGAGAATCCGAGGTACACATTTAGGAGAGTCGAAGGTCGCACGGAACGTATGTGCTCAAGATGTGAGAGATATATAAACGAAACAAATCCGATGAGGGTCAATGCAGTGGCTGCAATCGTAGCTTTGCTCTTGGGAAGGTTTAGGGAGCCCCAGAGAGCCAGCAGTACAATTTGGAGGATAACATATATGGAGAGTGCCACCTGTTTATATTGTTAGCGGTGCATAAGTCTGAGCGCATTTCCCGTCTTAATAGTAGGGTTGGAAACAAAATATCCGGCGACAACATATACATACTCCTTTTGAAACGTAAAGCCATGATCGCTGGACCTTTTCATCGGTTTTGACAAGCGCTCGGATCCTGAGAGGCACCAGAATCAGGGCAATACCCAACGGTAGGATGGTTAATATGCTATCTTCAAATAGTAAGGTAAAGTCAAAGCCATGGAGGCATGATGCTGCCACTTGCGGTCCAAACACATTCTGGTCCGCCACCGAGCATGGTGCCGTGTAGTTGACCATATCTACGGTCGGGTGGCTTTGTGTTTGGGAGAGGCCGAGTAGTGTTAGGATTTTCTATGTACTGTATCTCTTGAATCTGTTGAAAAGAGCCATAAGTACCGTATGTTCCATAAAGAGAACGACTTTGATAGGATGTTGCGCATAGGGAGCTGTCGGTAGGTAGGTAGTTGGATGGACGTTCAAGGGGGATCTGACAAGTTGACAATGGCGAGGCTGACATAAGCGGCAGGCATCTCAACCTGTGTAACAGGGTTTACGGCACTGTCGATCACGACAACATTACATGTAAATCTATTTTCACGTGTAATTTAGCCGTTTACATTAAGGGTACGTGCGGTGAAGCTGGAGTTGGAATAGGAAGAAGTAAGTTCAAGATGGGAGTTTCGCGCCGGTCCACCAGGTCGTCAACGAATATCTGACATAAGCATAGACATTAAGCCACTTAGAGTTAGACCGAGTATGACAGAGCAAATCATGGCATAATATCTTTATAATCTTCGCAATGTATGTGAATGTATTTTGCTAATTCTCCTATTAGTCCAACTTAGGTACCTTGCATTGTATGACAATGTTGACATGCACAAATATATTTCAGTTGTGGTTCGTGACGCACATCTGTTTGCGTCATGCCGACAACCGCCTATACCGCATTTATTTAACACCGAGTGCGATAAATACACCGTATTCATCAAATTCTCCTCCCTGGAATTTGGCTCTAAGAGGCGTGGGATTACTCACTGCAGCTTACAGCGTATTACAATGGATCTTCACCTTGTGTCTAGGGGTTTGGTTGGGTCTGACGGGAAGGATGGAACTTGCATCCATCAACCACCTGTACGCCGGAATATACTCGGCCCCGGACTCGTCCTTACGGGGCACGGAGAATGAGAATATGAGACAGAAGTGGCCAAGAACACCACCTAGGCAGGATAAGATGACATCTGAGAAACACGCCGTTGAAGCATCCACGTGATATAAGCTTACTCTGCCAGCCCCAGGATCCCGTGTTCCTTGCTGGATGATCTACGCCCTACGCGCCTATAGGGAGGTCTAGCCAAGCCACGTCTCGGAATATTGCTCCCTGTGCGACCAGGTTTCAGAAGGACAAGCTTTTGCGGATGGCGGCCCCGTCACCGCCGCAATTTCGGACCTCACGCCACTTGATCGGTCTGTTCTTTTGCGTGGAGGATTGCGTGTGTCTAGCAGAACGACTGCCGACGCTACGAACATGTGCCGTTTAGGTACCTAAGTACCTCCCTAGCTAGGAAAGGTACGAGAAATATATACGAAAGGCACTTGATAATGAATGAGCCACGTCAGACTACCAGCAGACAGGTAGGCTATGCCAAACTCTCCATATGGGTATGGAACCAGACAAGGTCCAACAAGGTGCCCAGGTGCCAAGGTACATATATGATTTGCGCGTTAGTACGCAGGCACCTAGGTAACCTATGTCGCCCATACAACTGCCAAAGCTGGCAGTTGCCCGCGACCTCGCATTCCACGTAGGTAAGGTAATCATTGAGTTATACTACCGCGAGTCTATTCGAGCTTCTCAGCTCCTGCAAAATGCTACTTCTTCTTAACCTCATACTAGTGAACTCTTCAAGTGCCAAGTGTGCCAGGGTGCGCGTTGTTACGTTGAAAATAGAGACTAGTTAAAAGGGAGGATTCAATCGTAGCTGTAGAAGAGAAACGAAAACAGGAAAAGATATATTATTAATTAAGGCGACCCTGAGGCGGGGCTAGGTGGAACATAGAAAAGATATATACGAACGCAGGTTTCACAGCACTGCGTAATCCTACAAGCCTCCCAGGATTTACCCGGAAAATTTCCACGTATCCATATAGCAACAGTCTCACTTATGAGAAGGGAGCCCCGAAGAATTATGCAATTCAGACCGATGTTATGAAAGCCTTGCGACATTGCTGATCGCAGTTATATCAGCACAAACTCACCAACGACAGAGCCCTGCTCGTGATCTCCATAAGCACCTCTCAACCGGCTGCAAACCAGACTTCCGGTGAGGCAATATCATCCTGTGTGGAAGCTTCTTCCCGGACTATTAATATCTACTCCATGCACAAAGTTCCACAATATACAACGACGTGTACACCCGGAAAACAAAGCACCTTTAGGAGTGACAATGTCGACGATGTAATACAAGTCTGCCCCGCGATCAAATGCCACTTGAAACTAGGGCCGACATCAAAGCCCGTAACCTTCGAGCAGAGGACGACTGGACAGTAGTAACAGACCAAGTTGAACGCAAGAGACGACAAAACCGTATCGCTCAACGCAAACTTCGTACGTTCAATGACCCCTCTTCCCCTCTTTGCTGCAGCTACCTCCGCTACATAGAGCATCACACTAAAGTGTCTACCACGCATATGATAAATGCTAATGCAATTTTGGCCAAAATAGGAGAAAGGAACAAGCAACGTCAACAGCAAGAGCAAGAGCAAGAGCAAGAGCGATATGCCCGCCAACGAGGCGCGTCCTCTGAACATAGCAGCCCATGCTCGCCTGAAAAGTACTCGCCAACGGCAATGGGGCCAAGCTTCGCACATGTTATGCCCTACAATGACATTAGCACGGCCGACATTATGAATACTGATGCACTACACCAACCTACATCATGGAATGAAAGTTCAATTTGGATGCCGCGCCTAGCTGATGCCGCCATTCAGGGTAACCTTAACACCGTTGATAATTCTGTCGTTGGTCCACACACCTCCGGCACGAATTCAATTGAAGTGTCTCTCATGGGGCAGGGATCAGTGCCCGACACTCCGATTGAAGATCCGGTAAGCTATATCGAGCTCGCCGATTGAACTACAGAACAGGCACTAACATGATATAGGGATCGTTGCCAAGGGATCTTCAATCGGGCCCGGGAAGCCATCAAAATGAAGCGAGGGATCAGGGGAACACTGCTTTACATGAGGCGGTTCTAACTGACCAGTTGTCCATCGTCCGGCTGCTACTTCAGCGCGGCGCGAATCCCGATGCAATGGGCGAGCAGCAGCAGACGCCTCTGCATGCGGCGGCGGAGCGTGGATTCACACATTCTGTGCATACCTTGGTTAATAGCGGAGCAAAGGTCAATCTTCATGATGGGAAAGGACTTACGGCGTTGCATTTGGCCGCAAGAAATGGTCATGGCGATGTGGTGGCTCTGCTGCTGGATGCCGGAGCCAATATAGATTATCAAATTGTACGATAAAGTATATAAATTTGGAATAGGAGTAAGGAGTACAATTACGAAAAGTAATCCGTAGAAAATCCATTGTTTTTTGTGATGTTAAAGTAAAAGCTGTGATGTGGATTAAACGCTCATCTTTAAAGATATTTTGGTCGTAGCTGAATTGCCTTCGACTATGTCAATATGTCCATGGCCCGTGTGCCTGGAAATGATATACGGGGGCGTTCTGACATTTCTGACAATACATGGAGGATCTGTTGGTCAGAAATGCCAACTCGCGCATCTTGAAGTCTGAGAAATGGACGACCAGGACACTAAGGTGCGGTAGGACAGCAGGATAAAATGTTGGATTATCCGCTGTGGCTGACGGTAGAATGCACAGTAGAAATCTAAAACATGTGGGCAAAATATCTGTCCTTTTAATAAAGCGTATGCTTATCTATCTATTCAATAGTCTTCCCGCTGTGGAGCACCACCAAGCCTTCCTAAACAGACTAGTCCCTCCTGTGTGCGATACCCACTTTTGGCCCACGCATATCAAACACTACGAAAGTACTCTTTAGGAAGACATCTCCAAGAATATTGAGTGAGTCCTCCCCGGATGTTTGACTGCTCTGAAGGGAGCCATAACACGAATTGTCAGTGCTATTTGATGGCGGGGTGCCATCGCCTCTACTGGCTAGCACCGTCGTATTGACAGCCGATGCTAGACCGAAGTTCATATACTCTGCTGGAACTGTAAAAATACCACCGCTACCGATGCGCAGCGTAAAACTAGGCAACTTGGATTCGCAAGGAAAGACATAACCGCTCGTACCATTGGTGGCACCAGCGACTTGCGAGTAATACGGCACCACGATGTCGTCGGACATGACCATCAGGGAGGTGCCAGTGTCCATAATGGCGGGAGTTACCGTGCCTGGGAGCAGAGGAAGGAAATTATTAGCTTGAATACTGACGCTTGGGAACAAGAGGATCGGACTAACTGTTGAAATGCCTTCCAATTCCATACCCGGTTGCATTGAACGCCCACCAGCCATCTATTGTATCAATATCGGCATACCAAATTTTCCCTGTATACCAACGTTTATCTAAGAAGCCAAAATTAAAATGACCAGGGCCATCATGGCGCAATGACACGCCTAAAACGGGGTTTTCAAGGTCTCCAGCAATGTTGTCGAAAAACGTCTTCTGCTGGTTTGGCACCACCGTATTGCCATTGGTAAAGCCAAGTCCAACGATCCCGTCGCTCTCAAGATTTGAAAACGAAGCCGATACGTTTGTAGCAATCTCAACTGCTTGGGATTCAACCACTGCACCACCAATCGAGACTTTGTTCAACCCCACCAGACCGCTAGCATATGAACCATCGCCGTACTCTGTATCCCAGGTTTCATTTGGAAGAAGTTTCCAGCTCGGAGACTTCAAGGGTGAGAAGACGTTATGGCCACTACTTGAGTTTGTAGAGAGTTCAGTTGAAAATACCCAGAGGTCTGAGGAGCCGGTATCAAAAACTTTGCGAACGCCGCATAATTAGTGTGTTGTTCTGTAGATTTCAGGAATAGCAAATATATGTTTAGGATATTGAAAAATAACACAGGATGGGAATTAATAAGGAAATGAATATATCTGAATGGACGTACTGAGATTGACAATCTGCCCATCTATATCTACTGGTGACACCCAATATGCATCGTTGTTTTTATTTACTGATGTCACAGTCCCTCGCTGTCCGGCGCCCCGTTTCAGCTCCTGAGTAATTGGCCGATTGTATCGGGCATATGACTTGGCCAAATGGAAGGCACCTAGGTTGGTTCTGGCCGCGTTAGCAGAAACAGAGCGTTCCACTTGTGCTACCGAAACACGTTTTTGAAACGCAGCGGCCTCAGTATGGCAGTTGAGCAATGAAGACAAGACGAGTAAAGGGAGAGTTAAGATAGCCATAACTTAGTCCCGAAGATAAATGGAGTGGTATCAGCAACACCACCAGTGGGAGTGGTGAGGTAGCCTGGGTAAATATGAATACGGATATCCGATCGTGGATATCGTCAATTTACTCGCACCGAGAATTAAGGTGGGTAGAAACCACACACTAATTAGATGCCATGGAATCCGCCGCGAGTCTCGTACGAGGCAGCACCGTAAGCATTGGAGTCATATTCACGCATAACGTAAGATACGAGCTCTCGGTGCGGCAATACAATTTGTTCTGTAGGGGGCCGCTATTCTGTTCTACGCTCGAAGAAAGTTGGAATTTCATCGGCCAAGACGAGCCGACGATCGCATCGTTCAAGGCCAAGTGCATGGTAATTCAGACATTCACGGGAGTCGGCGATTGCAAGGTATCAAGTCCTGCCATCTCTGTCATTTTCTCAGACGAGAAATCTCATTAGAAGTGGCAAGCATCGTAAAGCTGACTCCAGATGCCGTTGGAGGAACACGCATGTGAGGGCTTCTAGAATCGTTCGGGAAATTCCCCGGCAGATCTTTTAGTGCTTACTACGTACAGTACATTTAGCTCAAATGCGAGCCACAGCCGCACTTGAACCGTGACACTGCAGTAGCGCGAGGGTCTGCAGACCCCCTGCCACTTCAACGGTCAGAACTGACAACTGGACTCTGGCATCAATCTGACGATAATATCACTCTCGGAATACGGTAAATGCAGGTACGGCATTTAAATCCTGCTGAATATACCATCACGTAAGCCGGCTAGCCACCAGGTTAGTGTCAAGTATGGGGCCCAGGAACGTTATGGGATCATTGCAGGTAAAATATCCATACCATAGTAGTGAGACTGACCACGAGTGCTTAGTTCTGACGAGGAGAAACAATCTACTCGTGCTGGAATAACACCGTAGGCCGCGACTAGGGTACAATTTGGATGAGGCGATGTGGTAACCTATGACAAACAATCTTTCTGTCCAAAAGGTTTCCAAGAGACTTCTCTTAGATGAACGATTGATAACCCAAACTTCTTGAATAGCTCGAGCAGAATTCAAATATCAAAATCCAATGTCACATGCTTTGAGACCCCAAAATACCGTAATTAGACTACATTACTGAAAGTAAAATTAGGTTTTAGAGTATGCCCTCCAATTCCTAGAACACCTGCTAGCGACATAGTCTAATAGAACGGCTGCTATTAGCTCGATATATAATCGACGAAACGACATTATAGATATAACTAAATATTTCTATATTATAGCTCAAGGACGAGTTCAAACCACCACTCACTGGCGAAATGAGTTATTGGAAGGAATATATCGAAAGTGCACAGGTGAGTGCGTTCCCTAAACTCACTGATGGGTCATGTAGCAATCTCGGGCGCCATAAATTCTCCATTGAGACCGAGTTATCCTTGGGCGATTCAGGTGCCGATAGTCTGTCTGCACGACGAGGCATCGTCAAAGCAGCTTGGGCGTTGGTTCTTGCCAAATACACAGCTTCAACGGGTATCGGCTTCTTCGCCGGCATTGAGGCTTTTGGCGTTGCTAGGGCGGTCCCCATCAAGGCAGAAATTGATCCAACGCTGAAGGTGGCCGAATTGCTGCGCTATTTCCAATCCGATGAAATTAAGAGCGATCCGCATTGTGCGGATGATGCCACGGAAGTACAAAAGCTGCTTGACCCGAAGAGATTGGAAGCTTGGAACACGCTGGCAATATTTCAGAATGTATTCAGCGCTAGCTCCGAAGATGAGGATGAAGCTGAGGCAGAAGGTGATGGCCAATCATGGCTTGCGAATCAGGTATGTGGGCAATTAATTGGGAGATTGAGGAGTTACTTGCTGCGCCTAACTGACATCGTGAAGTTCGACGTGGTTTTATGGGCCAATCAGACGCCCAGATCTACCAACTTCAGACTCGAATACTCGACGGACACCCTATGCGAACAGCAAGCTAGAAACTTAGCATACTCCATCCAGCACACCCTATCAAATCTTCTGAAGCGCCCCGATGCCATAATTGGCGACCTTGAGATGCTGAGTGATATGCATCGAGGGCAGATTCAGTATTGGAATTTGGCGGGGGGCAAGAGGATTAGTAGTCGCGTACAAAACTTGATTAGTCGCCGCGTTATGGAAAATCCTGACGCACCGGCTGTTTGCGGATGGGACAAAAACCTTACTTACGCCGAGTTGGACCGGCTGTCACACCGACTAGCCCATCACTTGGTATCAAAAGGCGTGGGCCCTGAGATCATAGTTCCTCTGTGCTTCGAGAAATCCACATGGGCGATCGTGGCAATGGTTGCTACCATAAAGGCGGGAGGTGCTTTTGTATTCTTGGACCCATCATACCCGATAGCCCGAGTTCAGAATATCGTTAACCAATGCAACCCGCCATTCCTGCTGGCGTCCACGACAACAAAGAATATCTGGCCGATATTCCAGGGGAACACAGTTATTGTGAGCCAACAATCAATATATAGCCTCTCCAGTGTACGAGGCTCTTTAAATTCAGGGGTTCAGAGCGACAACGCCCTGTATATCATCTTCACTTCGGGGAGCACTGGCACGCCCAAAGGGTGCGTCATCGAGCATGGTGCATTTTGCACCGGCGCCTCAGCACAAGTAAGAGCAACTGGATTGAGCGCATCCAGTAGGGTACTGCAATTCGCATCGTTCACGTTCGATGCAAGTATCCTAGAGACTTTGATTGCATTGACTGCTGGTGCCTGCGTCTGCATTCCAAACGAAAAAGACCGAGCGAAAGGCATAGCAGAGATGGTCAGACATTTCGATATTTCTTGGGCACTTTTGACGCCTTCCATCGCTAGATTGGTGGCTCCAGATGACGTGCCATCTTTAAAGACTTTGGTGCTGGGCGGAGAGGCTCTTTCTAAAGTCGATATCAAGACTTGGGCTCCTGTCGTCCGTCTTGTTAATGCATATGGTCCTAGCGAAGCGACAATCATTGCTGCTGCCAACAATCGCATATCCACTGATACCAATCCATCCAACATAGGGCGCGCCGTTGGAGGAAAATGCTGGATTGTTGACCCAGATAACTATGATCGTCTCGTCCCAATTGGATGCGTGGGTGAACTCTTCGTTGAAGGAGCTATCTTGGCACGAGGATATTTGGGCGATCGCAAAAGAACTGCGGCAGCATTTATCGAGAATCCCATATGGTCGCGGTCCAAGACGAACAATAAGTATCGGCGGTTTTATGCCTCAGGGGACTTGGTCCGCTACCAGGCCAACGGTTCAATCATTTTCATCGGCCGTAAAGACACACAGGTCAAGCTTAGAGGGCAGCGTCTAGAGCTCGGAGAAATCGAGCATCACCTCTTGGAACATACAGCCGTCGAACATGCAATGGCGTTCCTTCCAAAGAAAGGAAGCCACAAACAGCGTCTTGTTGCCGTGATATCCCTCACGGAAACACATCATTCGAGCATCTCGGCTACAACATCCGATCCGGAAATCGAGGTGTTGAGTGAAGCTGGAAGCCTAGAAGGGCTGATTCCAGGCCTTCGGGCTCGTATGCAGGGACGGGTTCCTTCATATATGGTCCCATCGGCGTGGATCATCATCAAGAAAATTCCCATGATGCTCTCCGGCAAACTAAACAGAACCAAAGTAGCCAAATGGCTCGAGCAGATGGATTCGGAAACAACCAACAACGGCAGCAAAATAAATATCAAGGCCCCTATGGCTAGTCCAAGAGTACTCAACGAAACCGAGCGTTTGCTACTGGAAATCGCTGGCAAAGTCCTGAAGACTCATGAGAAAGACATCGATATGAATGAGTCATTCCTAGAATTGGGAGGAGACTCACTGCTGGCGATGCAACTATCTGCGAAATGTTGGGCAAATGGTCTTGAAATATCTTTGCCAGACATCATTCGAAGTGCGACGTTGGGCGACCTCGCTAAATGTGCCAAAAGAGTCACTTCTGACCAGCCCGTATCGGGACAAGCGCCATTTCCACTGCCAACATCATCAGATTCGGATTTTAAACATAAATATTCCAAAGAGAAGCTTTCTGCTGATATTCAAGAACTCCTATCAGACACCCAGTCACACCATGGTGCTGGTTCAGGTCAACTCGCCGACATCGAGGACATTTATCCTCTTGCGCCGATCCAGGAAGGCTTCATCCTCAGTCAACTTAAGTTTCCTGGCGTCTATGAGAGCTATTATGACTTTGAACTTGTCCCTTATTCTTCTGGGGAGGCATTGGAGCCTGAGAGGCTCGGTCGCGCGTGGGAACTCGTTGTTGAGCGACATGGCATCCTTCGAACGGTATTCGTGGAGACAAAATCGGGCGAGGAAACCTTCATTCAAGCCGTTCTCCGGACTGTCCGTCCCCGGATAGTGTACGCCAATCACGATGGGCTAGACATCGAAACGTATCAAACTGGTCTACTACCAGTGAAATACTCGGACAAGGAATTGCCCCATCGATTTCATGTCATCAAGACCCTGAATGGTGGGTTGTTCTTTCGGTTGGAAATCAACCATGCCGTCGTCGATGGAGGCTCAATGCCAATTATCCTCCAAGATCTCGCTCAAGCATATCATGATAGGCTTGCTCCCGGCTCGGGCCCCGAGTATAGTTTATATGTCCAATTTCTCCGCCAGCTTGAGCGGCAATCCGCTATAAGGTACTGGAAGGAGAAGTTAAATGAGGCCGAGCCATCTCGGCTTCCAACCCCTTATGAACCCTCTTCTTCCAATACACTCCAAAAGCTTAATACCGAGATCACCGGGATTAAGCCGCTGTCCCAGTTCTGTAGACAGGAGGGCATTACAGTGCCGACATTGCTCCAGTGTGCGTGGGGCCTCGTTCTGAGCAGCTACTGCACCTCGACTGACGTGTCCTTTGGTTACATGTCATCGGGTAGAAATATTCCCTTGAATGGAGTGGACTCGGCTGTTGGGCCATTCCTAAATACGCTAACCCATCGTATGAGGATTGACCAAGGGGTCTCCAAATTAAAGCTACTCCATGACACCCAGGAAGGTTTTCTTAAGAGTGTAGCCCACCAACATTGCTCATTAATCGACCTCCAGCATGAACTCCAACAAGATGTCAGTGCACTCTGCAGTACTCTTGTAACAATCCAGAGCCAGCCGCTATTTGAACCAGATGTAGTAGGATCGACGTTTGGCATTGAGCTCCGCCGAGAATTTGATCCCTCAGAGGTAATGATATCTATATCTTGTCGATGCTAGCATTTTCTGATTATAATACAGTATGATATCGCCATATCCATCCAACTGGGCCAGGAACATTTATCGGTAGGCTTGGAGTACTGGCCTTCGAGGATTTCAGAGTCCCTAGCCTCTAGTATCCTAGATTCGTTCAAGTCAACTGTCTTTGCATTGGCACACAATCCCAACGAGTCTGTCAAGCTGACTCCAATAATCTCCAACTCCGATATAGCGCAAATTTTCACCTGGAATGAGCGCGTCCCAGTGCATATATCTGCGTGTATCCACACTCTGATTGAAGCAAGAGCCGCAGAACGACCTAGTGCTCATGCTATCTGCTCATATGACCAAGATTTCACATACCGCGAGCTCAACGAAACCTCGCAGCAGCTCGCATATTACCTGGAGGACTTAGGAGTTGGACCAAATATCCAAGTTCCGCTCTGTTTCGATAAATCGTGCTGGGCAATCGTTTCTATGCTAGCCGTACTCAAGGCTGGGGGTGCATGCGTGTCAATTAGTCCGTCGAGTCCTAAAGAGCGAATTTTAACGATTCTAGGGGATATTGAAGCTAAGGTTGTGCTGGTTTCCACACAGCACATGTCGATGTTCGAGGAGCTAGAAATAACGACTATCGGCGTGGATATGTCGCTTCTAGAGACCCACGTCCAGCTAAAGAGTCAAAGTCAGTCTCTAGTCCAGCCATCAGATCCCGCTGTCATAGTTTACACTTCTGGTACGACAGGCAAGCCTAAAGGTGTTGTCTTGGAACACCATGCTCTATGCACCAGTGCCCTTTCCCATGGGCAAGCAGTAGGCATTGGCCCATCTTCTCGAGTGCTCCAATTTGCGTCATACTCATTTGACGTGAGCGTCCAAGATATATTTTTCACCCTGCAACGTGGCGGCTGTGTGTGTGTCATCTCGGAAGATGAACGAATGAATGATCTTGCTGGAGCCATCAATGCTCGCAAGGCCAACTATGCAGAACTGACACCCACCGTTGCGGGCTTATTAAAGCACACAGATACCCCAGGGCTACGTACACTGAATGTTGGTGGCGAATCTCTCACAGCTCAGGTCCTCGCTTCTTGGGCTTCCCATGTCCGGCTTTTCAACACTTACGGGCCATCAGAAGCAGCAGTTACCGCGTCGTCCACTGGTCTGTTATCAAAAGACTCCCGCCCTTCAAATATTGGTAAGGCGATTGGGTGTTTGTTTTGGATAGTAGATCCACTAGATCATAACACTCTCGTACCTATTGGTTGCACGGGTGAGCTGTTAATCGAAGGTCCCCTTCTTGCTAGGGGGTATCTTAACGACCTCCAAAAGACACAGAGTGTTTTCATTGAAAACCCTCGATTTGTCCCAAAATCCGCAGCCAACACGATTCGCCGAATGTACAAGACCGGTGATCTAGCCTTCTACGCACCAGACGGCTCGATAGAGTTTGTGGGCCGGAAGGACAATCAGATCAAGCTCAATGGCCAGAGAATGGAGCTTGGCGAAGTCGAGCATCATTTGGAAAGTCAAGCACCCGGTATTGCAAATGTGGCTGCGGATGTCGTTGCTCCTCCTGCTTATCGGAATGGGGCCAAAGCTCTAGTGGCCTTCCTTCATATCCCTGATGCAGCTGAAAATCTATCGACTCAAGTCGTGTCGCTCACAACTTCTCTCCAGGAGCGATTGACTGCTCTTCAGACTCGGCTAGCTCGAGTATTGCCGTCGTACATGGTCCCTTCGTTGTTTATTCCTCTGAGTCAATTCCCCATAAACGCATCTGGAAAGCTCGATCGTAGACATATCCGAAGCGTTGTCGAGAGTCTCAACGCCACGGAACTTGCGCAATATGCGCTGGAGACGAGTTCGAAACAAGCCCCATCGACGCCAACAGAGATGTTGATGCAGGATCTCTGGAACAAAGTTCTGGGGCTCGAGAAGAGCACTATTGGCGCCAATGACAATTTCTTTAGAAGTGGAGGTGATTCCCTTGCGGCCATGAAATTGGCAGCTGCAGCCCGACAGGCGCATATGGTTTTGCCTGTATCAATTATCTTTGCAAGTCCTACATTAGCAGAAATGTCTCTGGCAGTAAGCAAAGAACAGCCTAGCTTGGTTCGAGACGTCGAACCTTTCTCTTTGAGTCCCCATAGTGTGGCTGAGGTGGCTAGGATGCTCGACTTGAAAGAGGAGGAAATCGAGGACGCGTACCCATGCACGCCTCTGCAAGAGGGTCTTATATCTATAATATTGCGACAAACAGAGAGTTACGTTGCGCAAATGGTCTACCGTGTGCCGGAAATCCTAGACCTTGATCGATTTCAGCAGGCATGGGAGGCTGCAGTTCTGGCATATCCCATACTTCGGACTAGGATAGTGCAAGCGTCCTCGGGTATGTCATTACAGGTTGTTGTTCGACATCCCCTCGTCTGGGAAGGAGCATTGTCTCTCGAAGACTACCTCGAAAAGGATAGTGCTACCCCGATGACTCATGGGGCGCCATTGGTTCGGTTTGCTATTGCAAAACGCAACAAGGATAATGGCAGATTTTTTATCTGGACCGCTCATCACTCAGTGTATGATGGGTGGACGGGTGATATGGTTTTTGAAAGCGTGAGGACGGCGTATGGAAATGGCGATATCCCAAAGCCTAGACCTTACGCCGATTTTATCAAATATATGGTCCATTCTGACCAAGGTGCCTCTGCTAGCTTCTGGAAAGAGGTGCTTGGTGGCGATTTGCCCGCTAGTTTCCCTCGACTTCCGAACGCAACTTACCAGCCTTGTCCGAAAGCAAGGTTCTCACAACGCATACCATTGACCCCACCCAAGAACGCCGAAATACTCACTTCTACATTGTTGAGGGCAGCTTGGGGACTACTTGTTTCCCAGTACTCCGATTCAGAAGATGTGGTCTTTGCAACGACGATGTCTGGGCGCAATGCTGCTGTATCTGGCATCGAAGAGATTGCAGGGCCTACCATCACAACTGTCCCGGTTCGGTTACATACAGACGCGTCACAGACTATCTCACAATTTCTCAATAATGTTCAACAACAAGCTATTGATATGATCCCCCATGAGCATATGGGGCTCCAAAATATTCGGAGACTCGGACGTAATATCCAGGATGCCATGGACTTGCGGCACCTTTTTATGGTGCAACCACGGCCAGAGACGAATGAGGCCGCCGCTTCTCTGGGCCTGGAGCTGCTACCAGTCAAAACAAGTTCGTTTGATGTCTATGCATTGAACGTGGAATGTTTCCTTGACGGAAATGGTGTGTTGCTCGAGGCTGCTTATGACGAGAGGGTTATCTCCACCGCTGGAATGGAGCTCATGTTCCAGCAGTTTTCACATCTTATAAGTATTCTCAGCTCCAAGCCAGAGAACACGCGGATTGCCGACTTGGATAGAGTCTCACAGGCGGAAGTGGATACTATGACTCGTTGGAATGGAGACTGGCCTGAGAGCGTCCTATCCTGCATTCATAACATTTTCCGTTCTCAGGTAGCTCGCGCCCCGAATGCACAAGCAATTCACTCGCATGATCTCAACTTAACCTATAAGGAGTTGGACAACTTGTCTCAACGACTAGCACATCATCTTGTTTCCAACCACGGCGTTGGACCCGAGACCATGGTACCAATTTGTTTTGACAAGTCAACATGGGCAGCAGTATCTATGTTAGCTGTCCTCAAGGCGGGAGGGGCTTGCGTACCGCTAGGGCCGTCTCAGCCAGTCAATCGGTTACATGGCATCGTCGAAGACACGCGCGCGGGGCTCATCCTAGCCGCACCACAGCACGTCCACCTATTTCGAGGTACGGCTCCGAATGCGATTGCAATTACAGAGACTTTTGTACAAGCCCTACCTTTGCTGTATAGGGATGCGAATATTTCAGTCAGACCTTCGAATGCGGCTTTTGTTATATATACATCTGGTTCTACAGGAACTCCTAAAGGAGTAGTGCTCGAACATGCAGCAATATGTACCAGTTCTAGAGCCCATGGCAGTGTCATGGACATCAATCCCAATACACGGGTTTTGCAGTTCGCCGCCTACACCTTTGATGTCAGTATCCAAGATATTTTTACCACCTTGCAACGCGGGGGCTGTGTTTGTATCATATCCGAAACTGATAGATTGAGTAACCTAACGGCGGCCATCAATTCATCCCGAGCCAATTGGGCAGACTTGACTTCTACCGTTGCTGGACTTTTGGAGCCAAGCGAAGTCCCAACCATGACAACGATTTCGCTAGGTGGAGAACCACTTCAGCAGTCGGTGGCTTCAAAATGGGAGGCCCAAGGTGCAACTGTAATCAATGGCTACGGACCGGCAGAGGCATCCATCAACGCTGCATGCAGCAACAAAGACCAGAGAGCTGGCAATGCGGCGAATATCGGACGACCGCTTGCTAGCTGGTTTTGGGTGGTGGACCCTAATAGCCACAATCGCCTGGCTCCCATTGGTTGCGTGGGTGAATTGTTTATCGAAGGTCCTTTGCTCGCCCGCGAGTATCTAAACGACAGTTCTAAAACAGTGGCATCGTTTATAGAAAGTCCTGTCTGGGCGAAGCCTTTGAGCCAGAATATTAGGACAAATCGGCGTTTCTACACAACTGGTGATTTAGTTCAGTACAACCCCAATGGAACACTTAACTATGTCGGACGGAAAGATAGGCAGGTCAAAATACATGGCCAACGAGTGGAGTTAGGAGAAATTGAGAGCCAGATCAAACTTGCAGCCAGTGATGCTACGGGCATCGCTGTGGAGTTGATCTCTCCCTTGAGTTTGCAGGGAAGGGAAGCCCTTGCTGCCTTCCTCTCTATGGGGAATGGAAATGATGATGGAGAGCTGCTTGGGACGGTTAGAACACTCTCGGAATCCCTCCAACTGAAGCTTTCGGAGCTCCAAGGCCAGTTATCTGATGCATTGCCATCATATATGGTCCCGACATTCCTGATTCCTATTACCAAAATGCCAACAAACGCGTCTGGCAAATTAGACAGAAAAGCTTTGCATGTCATTATTCAAAGTTTAGATACCGTCACTTTAGGTCAATATACACTTGAGAGTGCTGCTAAGCGAGAGCCCACCACAATCCGGGAGGTGCAGCTATGCCAGCTATGGAGTAAGGTATTGAAGGTCGAACCCTCGACCATCGGGGCGGACGATAACTTCTTCAAAATTGGCGGCGATTCCATTACCGCGATGCAACTTGCCGCATCTGCAACGAGCGAAAGCCTCCAATTAACAGTCGGTGACATGTTTCAGGCGCCAAATCTCTGTGATATGGCTCATTGTCTAACCGATGTTATCACCAAAACCCAGGCCTTTAAACCCTTCTCTCTTGTCTCTCACCTTGACCTCCCGAAGGTTTGGAGGGAGATTGAAAGTCGATATAGTCTCTCAACGGATGACATTGAGGATGTGTATCCATGCACGCCGTTGCAAATCGGTCTATTGTCGATGACGGCTCGCCAGTCAAATGCCTACGTTGGCCAATTAGTGTATCGATTGCCCCTTTCCATTGATTTGGGCAGGTTCCAACAGGCATGGCAGATGCTATACTCTATCAATCCGATCTTAAGGACTCGCATTATACCGACAGATGAAGCTGGATTCATCCAAGTGGTAACAAAAGGAAATATTAATTGGCAAGCGTCGGATTCCCTTGAGAGCTATCTCCAGACAGACGAAGCGGATCCAATGTCATATGGAAGCATCCTTGCTCGGTATTCTCTGGTTTGCGAAAATACCGGCAATAATTACTTCGTATGGACGGCTCACCATGCTATTTACGACGGCTGGAGTGTCAATTTGATGTTTGACCAGCTCGAAGCTGCCTATAATGACACCAAAGTCTCTTCCCCACCACCATTCAAACTCTTCATTGAGAGTATTGCAAAGACAGGACAAGGTGCCGCTGCAGCATACTGGCGCAATCAGTTCGATGGAGATCAGCCGGTCCACTGGCCACAGCCAAAATCTGGAAACAATCAACCGTACAATCGCTTTGCGATCACAAAATCAGCTACTATAGGTGACGCACACCGACCCACTGCTATGCACTCAACTATTTTGAGAGCTGCCTGGGCTTTGACTGTCTCGCAATATGCCCAATCCCAAGATGTTGTCTTTGCTGTAACTCAGTCTGGACGCAGCGCTAGAGTGGTAGGAGCAACGCAAATGGTAGGACCTTTGATCACAACTGTGCCTGTCCGGGTTCATATAGACTACTCCAAGTCAGTCTCAGACTACCTCGACCAGATCCAGAACCAGACAATTGGAATGATACCGTACGAACACACCGGTCTGCAGAATATCGGGCGGCTCGACAGCTCCAACGCAAAATTGCGCGAGGCCCTGAAGTTGCAGCATATCTTCATAGTACAGCCTCCGGAAGAAAACGAAACAAGCGCAACCTGTCTGGGTATGGAGAATGTATCAATGGAATCTGGTGATTTTGACACGTACCCACTTAATGTAGAATGCAGTATAAGTGCTGGCTCGGTCACTGTCGAGGTTGTCTTCGACACAAACCAAGTCTCCGAAATTCAAGTTGAGCGCGCTGTTGGTGAATTTTTGCACCTAGTCCAACAGTTGGCCGTAATCGATGGCAGCACAGAACTAAGAAACATTGAGCTCATCAGCGATGACGACTTTAATTGGCTGAACAATCTGAACCGAGTCGTTCCGAGTACTTTGGAAACTTGCGTCCATACTCTCATTGAAGAGCAGGTCAGGCTCCGACCTGAAGCACAAGCAATATGCTCTTTTGATCAGAACTTCTCCTACAGCGAGCTTAATGATGCCTCCCAGCGTCTGGCTCACCATCTTGTGAGCGAATACGCCGTCAAACCTGGCACATATGTTCCATTATGCTTCGACAAGTCATCCTGGGCAATAGTGGCAATGCTTGCTGTGCTCAAGGCAGGTGGGGCATGTGTATCGCTTAGTTCTACCCATCCAACACAACGACTTGCCGCAATAATCAGCGACATTGGAGCTTCTCTGGTGTTAGTGTCTCCTCAGCACACTAGTCTATTTGAGGACATCCCAGTTCGCATACTTAGTGTCGATAGTGACACGGTTCACGGCTGCCGCGACATGGGCGAGCGTATACATGTCCAGCCCACACATCCCGCTTTCGTTGTCTACACATCTGGTAGCACTGGAGTGCCAAAAGGGGTTGACTTATCCCATGCCGCTATGTGTACAAGCGCTCGTGCACACGGATCCGCATTTGGACTTGGACCTAAGACAAGAGTAGCACAATTTGCGTCCTACACTTTCGATACCAGCATACAAGACATCTTCACTTCTCTACAGAGAGGCGGGTGCGTATGCGTACTCTCAGAAGAAGAGCGGCTAAATGATCTCGCCGGTGGCATAAATAGAAGAGGTGCGAACTATATCGACCTTACTGCTTCAGTAGCCAGCTTGCTCACCCCCGATGCGGTGCCTGGACTTGTCACAATGTCGTTGGGCGGCGAGATGTTAAAGCAGAGCATCATTGATACATGGGCATCCCGCATACGTCTTATTAACACCTTTGGCCCAAGTGAAGCGTCAATCAATTCGTCATGCACTGGTCTCCTAGACCAAACCTCAACACCAGGGAATATCGGAAAGCCACTCGGCTGTGTGTTCTGGGTAGTTGACAGCACCGATTACCATCGGTTATTACCAGTGGGCTGTGTGGGAGAGTTACTCATTGAGGGCCCGATTTTGGCACGTGGCTACTTAAACAAGCCGGAACAAACTGCGAAGGCATTTATCACCAACCCAGCCTGGCTGGAAAGGTTTAGGGGCCCAGCTGCGAGCAAGTCCGCTCGAATGTATGCCACGGGTGACCTTGTTTCTTGGAGGCAAGATGGCTCAATAGATTTTATCGGTCGGAAAGACACGCAAATAAAGCTACATGGCCAGCGAATTGAGATGGGGGAGATTGAGCACCACCTGGCCTCCCACGGCTCCATTAATCAATCACTAGCATTATTACCACGCAAAGGCTTTCTTCAAGATAATCTTGTTGCGATCGTGGATCTCCATGGTTTCACCAATGAAAATGAAATAGGCCAGATATCACTACTCGAGAGTGAGGACGAAACTACCATTACAACCCACATATCATCAATCCACAATCTTCTCAGGGAAAAGCTCCCCAACTATATGGTGCCTAGTAAACTACTAGTTCTAGGTACTTTACCACTAAACACATCAGCAAAAGTTGATCGTAGTCGAATTAGAAATTGGATTGAGGAAGAAATAGACGACGCTACATATGAGCTTATCATGGGAATGGATGGCAACGACCGATATTGCGCTCCAGCGACCAAAGCCGAGGAAGATTTACAGCGCCTTTGTAGTCGTGTGCTCAACTTGTCTTCATCTCGAGTCAGTCTCAATCGATCTTTTATTGGGCTGGGTGGCGACTCGATTTCTGCAATGCAGCTGGTATCTCAATGCCGAAATGCCGGTCTTCTGGTTACTGTTCCATCACTCCTCACCAGCAACACCTTGTCTGAAGCAGCGCAGTCTGCCGGAACCAGCAACATAAATGTTATTTTCAAAGACGAGCAGCTAGATACTGCTTTCGACTTGTCGCCAATCCAGAGAATGTATTTTGATCAGTTGCATGTTCAAACACCCGCTAGTGGTGATGCCCACTTCAACCAAAGCTCTTATTATCGATTGACGAGTGCCACATCTCCCGAGCGACTAAATACTGCACTTCGTGAATTAGTGATGTGCCACTCTATGCTCCGAGCGCGCTTCAGCCAAGATGAGGAGGGAATGTGGAGCCAGCGGATACTTGGCGACATGACTGAGGTGTATCATTTTAGTGTGCATGAGGGTTTAGATCTTCCTGCGGTAGCAGCTATCGCCTCAAGCAGTCAGATAATGCTTGATATCGAGAAAGGTCCCGTCTTCTCGTGCGATCTCTGTGGCCTGACAGACGGACCGCAGATCCTCGTATTGGTTGCTCACCATCTAATTATCGATCTTGTATCTTGGCGTATTATTATGGAAGATCTTGAAACCCTTCTGCTGGCCGAATTTGTACCTCTCCAAAAGCCGCTCTCGTTTCAGACATGGTCCAATCTTCAAGCAGAATATGCTCGAGATAATCTCACACCAGACATGGCGTTTTCAGGAGGAATAATTCTGACAGATCTTGATTACTGGGAAATGGCAAATCAATCTAACATCGTCGCCGATCAGCGATCAGAGATTGTCAACATTGATGAAGAAACAACATCACTACTGTTAGGCAAGGCAAATCGATCTATGCATACAGAGCCAGTAGATTTGCTATTATCAGCAGTAACGGATGCCTTTTTCCGGGTGTTTACTGACCGTCAAAAACTCAATATATTCAACGAGGGCCACGGTCGCGAACCCTGGGCACCGGAAATTGATATCTCAAGGACCGTGGGGTGGTTCACGACCATGAGCCCTATCCATGTTACCTCTGATTCAGACTCATTGGGGATTGTTGGGCAAGTAAAGGATCGTCGTCGACAACTTCCGCGCAATGGTTGGCCATATTTCACTTCACGTTATTTGAATAGACAAGGAGCAGATGACTTCTCGAGCCATAACAATACCGCGGAAATACTTTTCAATTACCATGGCCAATTCCAACAGTTTCAGCGCAGTGACTCTCTCTTCTTAGATGAAGACCTCAGCAAATTCGGTGTCTCCGACGAGGGTGGAGCCTTGCGACGCCAGGCTTTGGTTGAAATCGAGGTCGAGGTCGCCGGCGGTACAACGCAGATTCTTTTCAATTTCAATCGCCACATGGCATTCCAGGATAAGCTCCACAACTGGGTGCAAAGCACGAAGAATTCTCTCCAGTCTTTATGCCAGGATCTTGTCGCCACAAAAACTAGATATACGCTCAGTGATTTTCCGTCGCTTTCACTTGACGCGGCAGGCCTTGGGTTACTAGAGCAATGCCTGTCCAACCTCCAAACTGCAACTTCTACGACAGCGAATGATATTGAAGATATATTTCCATGCTCCCCTATGCAGGATGGGATGTTGCTTAGCCAGATCCAAGGCACCGCATCCTATGAAACAGTGCAGTTGTGCGAAATATTCCCATCGCAGTCATCCTCCTCGATTGTCAGGGACCGGCTCGCAAGTGCCTGGAAAATGGTTGTCGCTCGCCACAGCTCCCTTCGTACTGTGTTTATTGAGGCAGTTGGCAGAAAAGGAGCATTCAACCAGATTTCTCTAAAGAAATACACTCCAGATATAAAATTCGTTGAGTTCGGAGATGATACCGCTATCAAAGAGCTTCAGGATATTCCGGTGGTGAAGTATAGGACCTTCCAGCCTCCTCACCAGCTCACACTTTGCTCAACACCCCAAGGGAAATGGCTCTGTAAGATCGAAATGAACCATGCCATTACCGATGGCGCTTCTGGCAATATTCTCTTGCACGACTGGGCTTTGGCTTACAATCACACTTTACCTCAAGGCAGTGCTCTCCGCTATAGCGATTTTATCCAATATATCAATGCTAGATCTACGCAAGAAAGTCTTGCATTTTGGCAAGAGTCGTTGAAACATGTTCAGCCATGCCATTTTCCGTCGATAGCTCAAGCCCACAGGGTGGAGGAGCAAGGCACCACCGCGAAAGTATTGGATAATCCCCAGGTTCTTCACCAGTACTGCCAAAAACACTCAATAACACTTGCAAATTTCATGCAAGCAGCATGGAGTATTGTTCTAACCCGTTATACTGGCAATAGTAACATTTTTTTCGGTTACCTCGCTTCCGGCCGGGACGTGCCTCTTCCGGGGATTGACAGCGCAGTTGGCGCTTTTGTGAATATGATGATTTGCAAAGTTGAAGTGGACAAATACCCCACGGGCCTTGAGCTCTGTCGGGCTGTGCAGCAGCAGTCGATGCTCGGCCTGCCGCATCAACATGTCCCGCTTGCTGATATCCAAAATGCGCTTCAGCTTTCTGGACAACCCCTCTTCAACACCCTGGTTTCCTTCCAAAATCATGGAGCTCATGGAGGCGATGATCCGGAGTTGATATCATTCAAGGATTTGGAAAATCAAGATCTAACCGAAGTAAGTAACCTTAGACTATATTGGGATAAGAGAGCCTTTACTAACTTAGGCATAGTACGACCTTGCTCTGGATATAGGGGTTGAAGACAGTATGATTGAGATGTCTCTCGATTATAGCACGAGATGTCTATCTCACAACCAAGCAAATAGAGTACTGCGTACTTTCGAGTCTGTCATTAGGTATCTGCTAGAAAACACGCAGACCCCCCCACGACAAGTGTCTCTCTCTGATTCCAAGGATGACGAACTGATAAACCGGTGGAACGGCCCATATCCAGCAACAGTATCGGATTGCGTACATAATGTGATCAATTTCCAAACTGTACTCAGGCCAGATGCACCTGCGATTCGGTCATTCGATGGTGACCTCACCTATCAACAACTAGACGACTTATCGGGACGTTTGGCTCATTACCTAGTGACCCTAGGGGTTGGCCCTGAGGTTAAAGTTGTCCACTGCTTTGACAAATCAACATGGGCAGCTGTTTCCATGCTTGCAATCATAAAGGCCGGTGGAGTAAGTGTGGCTCTTGGCCCTAACCAACCTAAAAATCGCCTCGAAACAATTATTGCGGATACGGGGGCCCCTGTTCTTCTAGTTTCCCCTCAGCATGCTTCAAAATTCCAGCATACCTCAGTCACGTTGCTTGCCGTTGATCAGTCCTTCGTTCAAGATCTGCACCAAAATTTGCAGCCTCCTTGCACCACAGTAACGCCATCCAACACCGCTTTTATCGTCTACACATCTGGCAGTACTGGAGTACCAAAAGGTGTCATGTTGCAACACGATTCTATTTGTACTAGCTCGCAAGCACATGGAAGTGTTATGGGTATTAACCCCGGCACGCGGGTCCTTCAGTTTGCAGCATATACTTTCGACGTTAGTATTCAAGACATATTTACGACTTTGCAGCGAGGTGGATGTGTCTGCATTATATCGGACCACGATAGAGTCAATGATCTGGCACACGGGATTAATTCAACCCAGGCTAACTGGGCTGACCTCACATCTACGGTGGCCTCTCTACTACGCCCTGAACAGGTACCAAGTATGACCACTATCTCACTTGGAGGCGAACCTTTGCAAACGCACGCAGCAGAACTGTGGGAGCGCCATGCGGAGGTCTTCAACGGTTACGGTCCGGCAGAATGCTCTATTAATACTGCCTGCAGTACGAAGGAGCAGCGATTTGGTAATGTCGCTAATATTGGCCGACCTCTCGCTAGCAGGTTCTGGGTCGTGGACGCTAGCAACCATGACTTGTTGCTTCCAATTGGATGCGTTGGAGAATTGCTTATAGAAGGCCCGTTGTTGGCGGCAGGCTACTTGAATGATGCCGAGAAAACTAATAGCTCCTTTATTTTTAACCCTAAATGGGCCTACCCGGAACCGTCGACCAACAAGGAACCTCGTCGTCGTCGGATGTACAAGACGGGCGATTTAGCCCGCCTAAATGAAGAAGGAACATACGAATATATTGGACGCAAAGACCGCCAGGTTAAGCTCTACGGGCAGCGCGTCGAGTTGGGAGAAATCGAGCATCACGTCCAACTTGCAGCAATCAACACACAGAGGATTGCAGTTGAAGTTGTCACCCCAGAAAGCTATCAAGGCAAACAGACTCTAGCTGTATTTCTACAGCCCGAGTCGAATGATGGTTTTGGCTCCTTGGTAAACGGCGGATCCGTCCGGCTTGCAGATCATCTGCAGATCCAGCTCTCTAGTCTACAGACCAAACTTCATGACTCCCTTCCAATGCATATGGTGCCCACTCTTTTCATCCCAGTGGCCCAGTTGCCAACAAACGCGTCTAGTAAGCTAGATAGAAAAGCGTTGCAGGAGATGGCGAGGACCATGAGTCCAGAACAGCTGGAGATATATACTCTTAGCACAGGGATGAAACGGATACCAACCTCCCCCGCGGAGTTACAAATGCAGGAGCTCTGGAGCGAGGTTTTGAAAGTGGCCACAGATCGAATTGGCGCAGATGATAACTTTTTACGCTTGGGTGGCGATTCACTCCGGGCCATGCAACTTGCTTCTGCTGCGAGGAGAGCAAAAATGTCGTTGACTGTGGCTGAGATTTATCAAAACCCTAAGCTCTGCGATATGGCAGCTCATGCCAGCACACAAGACACCTCCACAAATGAGCTAAACTTGGCTGTTCCATTCTCCCTCTGCGGCAATAATTCCTTGGAAACGCTACTGGCTGATGCAGAGTCCCAATGCTCCGTATCAAAGGCAACAATTGAAGATATTTACCAGTGTACCCCGTTGCAGGAGGGCATGATGTCCATCACGTCACGACAAGCAGATGCATACGTTGCACAGAACGTGTATAAATTAGACGCGAATCTGGACATCGAACGCCTTCAGGAGGCTTGGGAGGTTGTCTCTAACGCTTATCCAATTCTTAGAACCCGACTTTTCCTGTCATCAGAAACTCGGAAATATATGCAAGTTGTTCTACACGAGGAGTTAACTTGGGCCTCCTCCGACTCTTTGATAGATTACCTGGAGCAGGATAGTGCTAAGCCACTTCAGGTCGGCCTACCTCTGGCGCGATTTGCCCTTGTTTTGCCAAGCCATGGCCAACGCTTTTTCGTGTGGACGGCTCATCACTCAATCTTCGATGGCTGGTCGTTACAACTGTTGATGCAAAATGTCGAATGTGCCTATACAAGGGCTCCTCTAACCCCGTCGCCGCCCTTCAAATCATTCATCTCGTACTTGCAAACTCTGGATGCGAAAGATGCGATAAAATATTGGCAATCCCAGCTCGGGGGTGATACCCCAACCAGCTGGCCAAATCCATCACTTTCAGCACTGGAATCACCTAAACAGGCCAGCCTAACGAAGACATTGCAAATCAATGCCATTGACAGACCACTAATCTTGCAGTCAACTATTCTTCGAGCTGCATGGGCTCTCACGGTGTCACAGTTCGCTGGGTCGAAAGATATTATATTCGCTGCTACGCTGTCGGGTCGCAATGCGCCAATATCCGGCGCCACAGAGATGGTAGGCCCACTTATAACTACTGTTCCTTTAAGAGTTGCCATTGACCCATCCGTAACTGTCTCGCATTACCTGGATCAATTTCAAAACCAAGCCATGGACATGATTCCATATGAACATACAGGACTTCAAAATATCCAAAGTACGGAAGAAAGGCGCGAAAATCCTCTCACTCTACAGCACATTTTCATCGTCCAGCCAGCAGAAGAAAATGAGATGGATCTTTCAGGTGTAGGCCTTGAAGCACTTCCCTCTCAAGCTGGGGATTTCGACACCTACCCCATCAATATTGAATGCAGTTTAAACGACCATGAGGTTGTAGTTGAGGCAGTCTTTAACACGAGCGTCATTCCCGTGGAAGATATGGAACATGTTCTAGCCCAATTCGCACATCTTACTCAGCAACTGTCAACAGTTGAGGGTGACAAGGTGGTTAGAGATGTTGAAACGGTCAACACTGACGATTTGGCGTGGATCATGGCGCTCAACAAGGACATTCCAGAAACATTATCCCAGTGCGTACACCATGGCTTTGAGGAGCAAGTGGTTATTCAACCTGACGCTCAAGCAATATGCTCCTTCGATAGCAATTTCACGTATAAGGAGCTCGATGAAGTATCACTACAGCTAGCTTCCTGTCTACTTGAGCTGAACATCGGCCCTAACAACCTTGTCCCTCTTTGCTTTGACAAATCCTGCTGGGCAATTATCTCGATGCTCGCTGTCTTACGGGCAGGTGGTGCTTGTGTTTCTGTTAGCCCTTCGAATCCCCGAGAGCGGCTAAAGACCATTATCGATGACACAGATGCTAAGGTGGTTCTCTGTTCGCCACAGCATGAGCACCTATTCGATGGCCTACCTGTTCAAGTATTAGGAGTCGATGCAAGTTTTATACAATCGTGCCCTGCTTCATACTCATTCCAAAACTCAGCAGTTCAGCCTTCCGACCCAGCATTTGTAGTCTACACCTCCGGTAGCACGGGCACTCCAAAAGGCGTAATCGTCGAGCACGCAGCCATGGCTACCAGCGCTCATGCCCATGGGTCAGCCTTTGGTCTTGGTCCTAATACCAGAGCCGTGCAATTCGCATCCTACACCTTTGACGCTAGTATCCAGGATATTTTTACATCCCTACAACGTGGAGGCTGTGTGTGCGTGATCTCTGAAGAGGAAAGGATGAACGATTTGGCTGGCGCAATCAATGCCCGGAATGCCAATTATGCAGATTTAACTCCGACAGTAGCAAGTCTTCTGCCACCTGCAACTGTACCCGGCATTAAGACACTGTCTCTCGGAGGAGAGGTAATGACAGACAGAGTTCTAGATATGTGGGCCAGTCAGAATGAAGTACGTCTGATCAATACTTTCGGTCCCTCGGAATGCAGCATTAACTCCTCCTGCACTGAGCGGCTTGATCGAAATGCTTCCGTGTCAAATATTGGCAAGACTCTAGGCTGCCTCTTCTGGATCGCTCAGCCTAATGACCATAACAGACTGGTGCCAGTCGGCTGTGTTGGAGAATTGCTCATCGAAGGGCCTATACTCGCTCGAGGGTACCTCAACGACCCCAAGAAGACAGATACCGCCTTCGTCAGTAGCGTTCCGTGGCTTCCATCCCCTGCCAGGCGTGTGTATAAAACTGGCGACTTGGCCCGATACACAGCTAACGGAACTGTCGAATACGTCGGCCGCAAAGACCAGCAGGTCAAAATTAATGGCCAGCGCATCGAGCTTGGAGAGATTGAACATCATGTCAAGATGTCATTTAGCGGAATTGAAGCCGCAGCCGTAGATGTTGTTGCTCCGTCAAGTCACGGAGGCAAAAAGGCATTAGCAGCATTCATAATTTTTGATAGCGATTCCTTTAACACCAAGGATGAAACCCAGACAAATCTCATCCACCCAACAACAGCGGCACGTCATACCATACTCACAACAATCAAATCCACAATGGAGACTGTTTTGCCTCCACATATGGTTCCGTCGTTTTTCTTTCCACTACTCAAGTTTCCTACAAATGCCTCTGGCAAACTTGACCGCAAGGTGCTCCGCGCTCTTGTGGAAGGGTTAAGCGTTAAAAAACTTGCTATCTTTGCACTGGCAATAACGTCGAAGCGCGCTGCATCTACTTCTATGGAACGGGAACTCCAGCGCATATGGTCTAATGTTCTCCAAATATCATTGGCGACAATCTCAGCTGAAGACAACTTCTTCCACGTCGGCGGAGAATCTATTAGAGCTATGCAACTCACCACCGAAGCCCGAGCCAGCAAGATCATCATCAGTGTGGCGGATATTTTCAAACATCCGAAGCTCTGCGACATGGCTACCCACGCAACCCATTCTAGTGTCGATCTATCTGAAGCGAATATACCTGAACCATTCTCCATGTGTGGCGAGGTTGATACGTGCATGATCTCTAGCATCGCCGCTGACTGCAATATCACCCAGGAGATGATAGAGGATATTTACCCATGCACACCGTTACAAGAGGGCTTGATGTCCATTACCTCACGTCAGTCAGATGCTTATATCGCGCGAATGGCCTTGAAGATACCATCCTCTATCGATATACCACGCTTTCAGGCTGCATGGGTGCAAATAGCTACAACTCATGCCATCTTGCGAACCAGGATTGTCCTTACAAAAGCTGGGAAATCAATGCAGCTTGTTGTTCGTGAGAATGTCGAGTGGAGGTCATCTTCATCTGTCAACCTTTACCTAGAGCAAGATAGCAAAAGTGTGATGTCTTACGGGTCCCCGCTCGTTCGCTTTGCAATTGTCAATGATACAGATGATGGACAGGTCTTTGTCCTGACAGCTCATCACGCTATATATGACGGGTGGAGCATCAATTTACTATTCAAGGAGCTTGGGGATGTCTATAGTGGCAAAGCTACCTCACAACCAGTGCCTTTCACGGCATTCATACAGCACCTCCAGTGTATCGAACAAAATGATATGGCTACCTTTTGGAAGACGCAACTTGGAGGGGAAATGCCAACAAGTTGGCCGCTTATGTCGCCAAACCGCTCCGCCCATGCGGATAAAGTGATTAAGTACTCAACATTATTAGACGCCAGAGATCAGTCAGATTTCATGGGATCTACTTTTCTCAGAGCGGCTTGGGCCATGACCATCGGTCTTTATACCGCATCTTCGGATACATTTTATGCAGAGACTTTTTCCGGGCGCAATATCGCAGTCCCCGGCGCCATCGATATATCCGGGCCATTAATAACCACCGTACCGATGCGGGTGCGGTTCGATAGATCTCTGACTATCTCGGACTACCTTCAACAAGTCCAACAGCAAGCCGTTGATCTTATTCCATATCAACACGTCGGTCTACAAAATATCAGGCGTCTTTTCCGAGGTGAACAGAACCTAGCAGAACCACAGCACATGTTTATTATTCAATCTGAGAGCGAACGGGAGCAAGATGCAACAGCTCTGGGTCTAGAGTCACTCCCATTTCAGTCTGGCGATTTTGATACGTTTCCCGTGAATGTATCGTGCAACCAAAATGAAGACCAAGTTGAGATCGAAGTTACTTTCGATAATCATGTTGTTCCAGAAAGCGAGATGCAGCGTATTATATATCAGTTTGTGCATATGTTGCACGAACTGAGATCAGCACCAGGAACGACTCCTCTGAGCCAGTTAAACCTTTTAAATGGGCACGATGCGAGCATGATCCAGAGATATAATATAAATATGCCGCAGGAGCTGCAGTCATGTGTCAACCATATTGTTGGTGAACAGGTTCGACGAGACCCCGCCGCTCCCGCTATCTGTGGTTTTGATGGCAATTTTACATATGGGGAGCTTGACATGGCCTCCGATATACTGGCTAGCCGCTTGCTCCAGGCTGGAGTGGGCCCAAAGATCTTTGTACCGCTCTGTTTCAACAAATCGTCGTGGGCTGTGGTTGCAATGCTTGCTGTTCTAAAAGCTGGGGGAGCCTGTGTGTCACTCGACCCAACTCATCCGATTGGTCGAATTAGACGTATAATTCAAGACACCAGTGCCACAGTTGTACTCGCATCCCCAGAACACAGAGAGAAATTGGACGGTCTCGTCTCCCATGTTTGGGCTATTGACACCTCGTTTGTTAGAAGTTTGGGAAATCCTGCTTCCAAACCTAGACCTAGACAGAGGCCCGATGACCCAGCCTTCGTGGTTTACACGTCTGGGAGTACGGGTGTCCCAAAGGGGGTAGTAGTACAGCATAAAGCGATCTGCTCCAGTGCCAGGGCACACGGCGAGAGATTAAGCATTGGCCCTGGGACCCGTGCACTACAGTTTGCCGCCTACACATTCGATGCCAGCATTCAAGACATCTTTACAGTCCTCCAGCGTGGAGGTTGTATCTGCGTCATATCGGACGATGATCGCACGAGTAACCTACCAGCCGCGGTAAAATCTACTAATGCAAATTACATGCAGCTAACCCCGACTGTTGCTGCCATCTACTCGCCGTCAGACTTCCCGTCGGTGAAGAGCCTCCAACTTGGTGGTGAACCGGTCAAGAAGCAGATCTTAGCCTCCTGGTGCGGGCATGCCCGAGTATTCAGCGCATATGGGCCTGCTGAATGTAGTATCAATTCGACCATTGCCCAGGATATTCAGAAGGGCGATCTCGAAACTAACATTGGCACCCCGGTTGCGAATTTATGTTGGATTGTTGATGCCGATGACTCGAATCGACTTGTTCCGGTTGGTTGTATTGGTGAACTTCTTGTTGAGGGTCCAATCCTTGCGCAAGGATATCTCAACGATTCACAAAAGACAAGAGATGCCTTTATTAACCCTCCGTGCTGGCGGTCGCACTTTCTCCGGGGTCCATATGATCGTCTATACATGACTGGAGATCTTGTCTATCAGACCGATGATGGGTCATATGTCTATGTTGGCCGCAAGGACACCCAAGTGAAGCTCAATGGTCAACGCCTTGAAATTGAGGAAATTGAGTTCAATCTGATGCAAGCTGGTCCCCTTGCTCAGGCCGCTGTTTTACTCCCACGATCCGGGCCTTTTTCTAACAGGCTCATTGCTGCACTTAGTCTGCGAGGGGTAGAAAATGTATCCCATGAGAACAAAGATATCCAGCCCCTAACCGGAGATATGATGAGAAAAGCATCAGAAGTCATTGGATCGCTCCGGAGCTCATTATCAGACAATTTGCCGCCCTACATGGTACCGTCCTCGTGGGTACCACTTTCTGCGCTGCCCATGACTGCCTCTGGGAAGCTTGACCGCGGAAGCTTAAAGCGGTGGTTTGAGGCAATGGATAGCCAAATGTATAAGACAGTATCTAGTGCCGACGAGATTGCCGACGAAATCCCAAGCAAACCAAGTTCTCCCATCGAACAGGAACTCCAAAAGATTTGTAGTCGAGTTTTGAACTTACCTGAATCCAAGGTCAACCTTCAACGCTCATTTGTGGGTTTGGGTGGCGATTCTATTTCCGCGATGCAGTTCATTTCTCAATGCCGAGCTGCGAATATTGTAACCACCGTACCTGTTGTGCTGCGAAGCAAGAGACTGGTTGATGTTGCACGGTCCGCAAGATTTGGCTCTATGTCAATAGTTTCTGAGAAGGAGGAGCTGAATGTGCCATTCTCTCTGTCCCCCATACAAAAATGGTACTTTTCCAATATCCATGATGGGCAAGGCCCATCGAGGGAAACGCACTTTAATCAGAGCTTTTATGCGCGTATGACACGCCATATCCACCACGAAGAGGTTTCTCGCGCGATTAAAGCTCTCGTGGACCAGCATTCTATGCTACGTGCACGGTTTCAGCAGGTTGACGGGACTTGGACACAAAGGATCCTTCCTGGTGTTACAGACGCCTACCACTTTAGCGAACAACAACTTTTCAGCCCAGAAGAGGTGGCTGCTCTTGCCCAAAATCGACAGAGGAAGATCAATATCGAAGAAGGTCCAGTATTTTCGGCTGATCTATGTAGTGTACCAAATGGGGATCAGTATCTTATTTTGATCGCTCACCATCTGGTTGTCGACCTCGTATCATGGCGTATTGTGTTAGAAGATCTTGAACAATATCTACAAGACAAGCCTTCGCAAGCCGTTTCATACGAGCCCTTGTCTTTCCAAATTTGGTCCAAACTTCAGGCCGAATATGCCAATAACCCGGAACTAGGTCCAGACAAGGTATTATCAACAGACGGAATAGTGAGCGATCAAGCCTACTGGGGTATGAGCAGCTGTGCAAGCAACGCAGTTGGCGATCAGGTCTCGCAGTCGATCACCGTGGATCCTCAGACTACAACCCTTTTACTTGGGCCCGCAAACAGCGCGCTAAATACAGAACCCATAGATCTGATGCTCGCTGCTATCTGGGACGCATTCCTAAATGTATTCACAGACCGACAGCAATTGACAATATTCAACGAAGGACATGGCAGGGAGCCGTGGTCTTCAGAGATCGACTTGTCTAGGACAATTGGCTGGTTCACTACCATGTCTCCTATCAATATGTCAAGAAAATCAAACAGTGATATACTGACAACGGTCAAGAGGGTCAAGGATAGTAGAAGACGGCTTGCCCAAAATGGTTGGGCATACTTTACCACTCGGTACCTCAACAACGATGGAACGAAAGCATTTAAGGACCATGATGCTCCAATGGAAGTGCTGTTTAATTATCATGGCCAATTCCAACAATTAGAGAGGGACGATACTCTGTTCCATGACGAATCATTCGGTCAAGCCGGTCCATCCGATCAAGGCAAAGATCTACCTGTAGCAGCATTGATTGATATAGGCGCTACTATTAACGACAAAACTACGGAATTCACATTTGATTTCAGTCGGTATATTGCGCACCAGGATCGGATATCCCAGTGGGTCAAGCAAATCAAAACATCCCTTCAAACAATCTGCCACCAGTTAGTTGAATCAAAGGGATCCTACACTCTCTGTGACTTCCCGTTGCTCTCCTTGGACTATGAGGGTTTGGATCGGCTTCAGAATGTTGTCTTGCCGGAAATTGGAACAATCGCTGAAAACAATATCGACGACGTTTACCCCTGCTCGCCTATGCAGGCAGGCATCTTGTTGAGCCAGATCAAGCAAGCTGGGACATACGAGACCTCACATATCTGCGAGGTAAAGGCCGAGAATTCTTCTCGCCCCCTCGACACTCATGAACTAGGCAAGGCCTGGCAGGCAGTAGTTTCGCGCCATCCCTCCTTGCGAACCATATTCATTGAAGCCGTCGACGAGAATGGGGCTTTTGACCAAGTCGTTCTAGGGACCTATACAGCCGAAGTTCTTTATCTTCAAAGCTCCGACATTAACGAGGCGTTGGATCTGTTCAAGGAACTTTCGCCAGTCGATTATAAGCAAACCCGGCCTCCTCATAGACTATCTCTATGCGAAACCTCAGACGGTCATACGGTTTGCTGTCTTGAAATCAGCCACACAATCACAGATGGGGCATCGACAACAATTCTCCTAAGAGATTTAGCCCAGGCATATTCCGGCGCTCTAGATCCTATGTCGTCGTCTCCTACGTATAGAGAGTTTGTAAAACACATCGGCATGATCCCTTTAGCCGATAAACTCGATTATTGGAAGACGTATCTGGGTGGCATGGAGCAGTGTCACTTCCCGCAGATCGCGCCCCCCGTGTCAGACAAATTCAACTCTACAGCAACGTGTGAACTTGAACCCAGCATGGTGATGACACTCCAGAAATTCTGCGAGCAGCAATCCATAACGCCAGCAAACCTTCTTCAGAGTTCATGGGCTCTCGTACTGTCTGCATATACGGGTTCTGACTCGGTATGTTTTGGATACCTTGCCTCAGGTAGGGACGTGCCGATTCCAGAAATCGAAGATTCCGTAGGAGCCTTCGTCAACATGATGGTTTGTCGTGTGGATATTTCTCGCGAATCAAGCGGTAGGGAATTTGCAAGCGGCGTACAAAATCGATCATTACAGAGCCTGGCTTTCCAGCACTGTCCATTAGCAAGCATCCAGCACGCTATTTCTTCAGCGGGACATGCGTTTTTTAACACGGTCATCTCTCTCCAGAGACAAGACGAAGATTCGCAGGGCGCTCATGATGATATCACGTTCTTAGATTTGGATGCTGAAGATCCGACAGAGGTGAGTGTCATGTTCGAGGAAAATCCCTTTTATATTTTGCTAACCGCGCCATAGTATGAACTGGCGATTGATATCACGCTAGGTCCGAAGACGGTCGATATATCCCTCGATTACTGGAATACTACTTTATCCCAAGCTCAGGCTGACCAAGTACTCTCAACTTTTCAAGCTGCGATTTCAGTAATAATTGACAGCGGTGACCAAGCACTTGATAAATCGACACTCATAAGCCGAGAAAGTGCCCACGCCCTTGCCTCCTGGAACGGACGCTTTCCCGATACAATAGAAACATGTGTGCACTCTCTCATCAGCCAACAGTCAGCTCTCACTCCGGACTTCCCTGCGGTCTCTTCATTTGATCTGGATTTGACTTACAGGGAATTGGAGAAACTGTCAGATGCCCTTGCGCATCATCTAGTTTCCATAGGTGTTGGTCCTGAAGTAATGGTACCATTGTGTTTTGATAAGTCGACCTGGGCCGTGATATCCATGTTGGCCGTTCTGAAAGCAGGCGGAGCATGTGTTTCTCTAGGGCCATCCCAGCCATTCAAACGCCTGCAGAGAATCATTGCCGATACTGAGGCACTGGTCATCTTGACAGCACCGCAACATACCCACATTTTCAACTCCATTTCTACCACAACAAATATAGTCACTATCGACGCCAATTTTGTCCATCGGTTGCCTAATATACGTGGCATTGCCTGTCCATCTGTCAGGGCATCAAATGCTGCCTTTGTAGTATATACTTCCGGTAGCACTGGTGTGCCAAAGGGCGTTGTGCTTGAGCATTCTGCTATTGCAACGAGCTCCAAAGCACACGGCACGAAGATGGGAATCTGTTCTGGGACGACTCGTGTTCTCCAATTCGCAGCGTACACATTCGACGTTAGTATTCAGGACATATTTACGACGTTACAACGTGGTGCATGTGTCTGTGTAATTTCGGAGTCTGATCGGCTTGATGATCTAACGCACGCAATCAATACAACTCAGGCTAACTGGGCGGACCTAACCCCCACGGTGGCGGGGCTTATCAACCCTACTTTAGTGCCAAGCATGAAAACAATATCATTAGGAGGAGAAGCCTTGCCCGAGTCGGTTGCTAAGTTATGGCAGCCTCACGCTAGGGTTATCAACGGCTATGGACCCGCAGAAGCATCCATTAACGCAGCTTCCAGTGACGAAGAACAACGGGGTGGTAATTCTTCAAATATCGGAACGCCATTGGCAAGTTGGTTTTGGGTTGTAGACCCAAATGATGTGGATTTCTTGGTTCCTATTGGCTGTGTTGGTGAACTATTGATCGAAGGGCCACTCCTTGCACGAGGTTATCTCCACGATGAATCGAAGACACAAGCGGCGTTTGTCAAGAATCCAAAATGGACCAAGGCGGAGTCTTTAGGAGTTGCGCAGGTTGATCGACGCATGTATAAGACGGGCGATCTAGTTCGGTTGAATATTGATGGAACATATACCTATGTTGGACGCAAGGATCGCCAAGTAAAGCTTTATGGCCAAAGAATTGAGTTGGGAGAGGTTGAACAGCAAATTATCGCCGTAGCCCCAAAGACTGTGGGCATTGTTGTGGAGGGAGTGTCATCGATCAGCTCCCAACGACGAAACGCTCTTGTCGCATTCTTTGATTGGTCAAGCTGCCTAGGAGAACTAAACAGCGAGACATATGACTTGCTGCTTCCATCAAGCGCCGAAATCGAATATACGCTGAATGGTATCCGAGCAGCTCTAGTTGGTGTCCTTCCAACCCATATGATACCGACTCTTTTTGTTCCTGTTGGGAGATTCCCTGTCAATGCTTCAGGGAAATTGGACCGTAAGCAATTACAAGAACTAGTCCACAACATCTCGACGGAAGAAATGAGCCGTCTTGCTCTCTCTGCAGTTGCAAAACAGGAACCAAGGTCTCTAGAAGAAAAAGCTCTGCATTCCATGTGGTCCGAATTACTTGTTCTCGCTCCAGACGCATTTGGTGTTGATGACACTTTCCTCAGTCTCGGTGGAGATTCCATCCAAGCAATAAAGCTCTCTCGGGAGGCCCGGGTGAGAGGCATACAGCTGGGCGTGGCCGATATACTCCGGCATCCCAAGCTTTCAGACATGGCCGCCCACGCAGTTATCAGTCAAAGAAACGTTGTCGAGGTAGAAAAGGTACCCTACAAGCCATTTTCGCTTCTCGGTGATGTGGACACGAACCGCCTCATGAAATATCATGTGTCCAATGCCTGCCCGCTGTCCAAGGAAAATATTGAGGATATCCTGCCAGTCACAGATTTCCAGGCCCTCTCGATCGCATTGACAGAAACGAAATCACGGAGTATGCTCATGTATTACTCATGGCAGGGAGATGGAATACCGGATGTCCAACGCATAAGGGAAAGTTGCGCGAAAACAGTTGCCAAGTACGATATCTTGCGGACAGTTTTTGTTGTCCATGGCGACAGGTTCTTGCAAGTTGTGTTGAAGAATCTAATCATGGAGATACCTCTATACGAAACCAGCCAAGACCTTCCCGCCTTCACAGAGCAGATGCAAAAGTGCGATATGTACCGGATGCCTCGTCTTGGGGAACCACTAGTTCAATTTGCCATCATTCACCAAGTTCCACAAAGACGTTTCCGACTCATCATGCGCATTTCCCACGCTCAATATGATGGCATGAGCATATCTAAGATATGGGACTCGCTCCAAGACGCTTATAATGGCCATGATGTGGAAGTTCACAACGGATCTAGCTTCTCTAATTACATGCGGACGTTGGCATTGGCTGACGGCGCAGCCTCTCGCAATTATTGGCGGGCGCTTCTTGATGGCTCTTCAATGACATCTTTTGTTGAACGCACACGTCCTACCCTTGGGCAATCCGGGACTAGCATAAGCTTATCACAAAACATTCGTCTACCACCACCTGGCCATCTGCAATTTTCATTTGCTACTGTTATCAAAGCAGCGTGGTCATATGTACTCGCCAGGATGTCATCTACAGAAGATGTAGTATTTGGCAGTCTCATTGCTGGACGAAATGATGCCGATGCGGAACCTGTTGTTGGAGCCTGTGTTAACTGCATCCCAGTCAGAGTCAAGATTGGCGCAGATTGGAAGGTGACGGATATTTTGCAAGCTGTTCACGACCAGTCTATAGCAGGAATACCGTTTGAAACCCTTGGATTCCGGGAAATTGTTAAATCCTGCACGAATTGGCCTAAATGGACTTTCTTCAATTCCATCATCACGCACCAGAATGTTGAAGACGATGAAAACCTGAGCATGGGAGAGTCTGCAATGCAGATGGATGCCATCGGTGGTGAATCAGATCTTGCAGACATCTCTATCGTGTCAGTTCCAGGGCCCGACTCCATGGAAATCAGTCTTTACTGTGCAGAAGAAGCCGTTCCGTCCGACTTGGCGGAAGAATTGCTCCATCAGCTCTGCGAAACCATTTTGGAATTCTATGAAACGCCAGACGTGCCGCTTTTGGCGCCTGGCCAAATCCATAACCTAACACCTCGTATACCTGTCAAGCCCTCGGCGCCAAAGCTGGAGACCATCGCTGATTCTGGCGAACAGCAACCACCAGCTCCAGCAACCTCGATGTTAGAGCGACTTTGGAATCAAGTACTGAATAATAACATGTCATTCTTCGATATGGGCGGAGACTTGATTTCCGCCTGTCTCCTCTCGAATGAGTTGAAAAGGGAAGGGGTTAATTGTTCCATCGAGGACATTTTTGATAACCCCACTTGGGGTCTACAGCTTGCTTTATTGCGTTCAACTCAGCGCCAATGAAAAAGTATAACGGTCTCTAGGAAATGATTTATTTTGAGATTGTTGGAATCATTCACTTTGTCGTTTCCTTATGTCATGGATTGGTCGAGTATATCTCCACACAGGTGCCAACCATTGGCTTTTCTTTATCATTTTGACTGTATTTGGGCTCGGCGCTGGGAAGTCATATCGAGATATATAAGATAAGCTGTGTATATATGTACTGTAGATCCTACATTTTTTATTTTGTTCATTACTTGATTAAAATATACATTCTAGATATGAAAAGTAGAATATTCACGCGAGTAAACTACTCTTTAAATAATGTTTTTCTATTAGGCTAATCTAACTATTATTCCTTAACTGACTTATCTCATGAGTAAACTATAACAGGTCTTCTTTTATTTAATTACTCCAATATAATAGCATATTTAGTGGTTGATCGTATAAAAGTTTACTGCTCGCAATCTACATATCGATATGTGGTTGCCCATATGGGCCTTTGGCAGCACTTTTATTCTTAGCAACTTGTTCAGCATTGTAGACAACCTTCGACTCTATTACTTAGCTTATACAGGCCGTCTAAAAGCTCTAATAAAGCAACACGATAACATGAGACCAAATAATATTCCAAGTTCGCTAAAAAAAAAAAAAGAATTCACCTTTTACATCGCCCGATGTTAAACGAGCACTACTTTCAATGCTATGGAAAATACACCCACCGTTATTGTTAAGGATAACTCAGAACGACTAATACATTAACAGATGCATAATAGCGGAACAGGAATAGGGGTTAAGCGAGAGAGGTCACAAGATGATGTCATCAGATATCCCATAGCCGCTTAGCCACAGCGCCACAACAGCCACAGGTATATCAACAAGGTTATTAGGAGCAAACGTATAGGCCAAGTCCAACTTCACTGCTTACCTTAAGGTCTCTGTATTTGTCTGCCTTGTCTACTTGTTCTATGCAAAGTCTAGACTATCAAAGTGCCTAAGCTAAGCTAAATACTTCAACGAAGGTATTTTGTAGCCATTCCTCGCATCCTTTAACGTAACACAGAGCCCAGTTCCAAGCTGCCAAGAGCTACAGCCACGGCCAAGATTTCTGCTCTGTTCGCTTCTGTTCCGTTATCCGTCTGTCGTCCGTCCCTCTTCCGATCTATTCTCCTTTTCGTCACCAACTGTCAGCCGACAGGTCGACTTCCTTGCAGGTTATGAACTTCACTATTATTCCAGCCAATAGACAATGACGACAAGACCAGGCAAGATCGACCGGTTGTAAAATACAGAAACATATTGGTTGGCTTTGCATGGCTTTGCATGGCAACTCGAAGCCACATATTCCATGCCCTCAGCTGCGTCATCACGCTGAGTGCCGCGAGGCGCTGATGGGGGGTTTCAACATTAATGTGCCATGGGGTGAGCTACAGCGGATAGTCTGCCCCGATATATGATGCGAGGGTATGTATATTATTAATAAACCTGAATGGATGGCGTGCCTCTTTGTTTCCCCTCTTCCTATTAAAAGGTTCCCATTCCCATAACCACCGCAAGCAACCACATTTGTGAATCCCCTCCAACAAAGAAACTCGCGCTATCCATTCCACAACCTCGCCCCCCTCCTAAGGAATCACCTACCTACAAGAGGCTTGCAAATCCCCTTTCACTAAAACTTTCGCATTCCCACAGATCGTCGGCTTGGCCCCCCGTTTACCCGACTTAAGAAAAAGAAAGAAAACTCTAGTCAAGCACAACCTTCACCATGGCAATTTTCGAGGTTTTGATGTTGCCGTTTCGCATCGCCCAGGGCGTGCTATCCATCATAATCCTCGGCCTCACGGCCTATGGTACGTCGAAATTCAGCTCCCGCGCTCTCGTGCCCATCTCCCTTCCACGCGACATTCTTACTAACATTAATCTACCTCCACAGTCATCAACTCTTGGAACGGCATCTTATGGTGGGAGTCTCCTTCGCAGGTCAACTTCCTCCTCTTCTGCAGTCTCTGGACCCTCCTCGCCCTCGTTTACCTCGTTCTTGCGCCGATGCGCTTCCAGGCGGCAGCTCACAAGTATGCCATTCTCGCAGCGGAGGCGGTCACGATGATCTTCTGGTTTGCAGGTTTCATTGCGCTTGCAGTGCTTCTTGGTGATATTAGATGTGGGAGGTGGGGAGGCGTGTGTCGCGCCAGTCAGGCGGCCACGGTCTTTGGTGCTTTCGAATGGTATGGATTCTCCAGTTTCCTTACGCGCGCCCATTTGGGATTTTAAGGAATAGTTGCTAACGGCGGTGGATTAATCAGGCTCTTATTCACTGCGACCACTGTTGCCGCTGCGTTGCACGCCTTCGGCTTAGGATCGAGTCGTACGAAACAGCACGATCCTGCGATCCAGGTCCAGCCGCAAGTCTAAGAATATAGCCATCGCATCGATGTAAACTCGAAATCGTCCCGCGCTCCTCCTTCTCTCCTTTGTTGATACCCTGGGGCTTTCATTTTGTCGGTGCTTACCGCGCGTCGATGGTTGGTTTGGGAAATTCGGGGATCGGGTTCGGGTTCGTAATGCTGCCACGGTTTGGTGATGCAAGGAAGGACGATAGCGGGGATGGAATCCCAGGTTGACAGGATTGAATGATACCCTTCGAATAGTAATGGATGATAATTTAATTTTGTGCCCTCAAGACAATGTTCTTTCCATCTTTTTCGTCTCGGCCGACCACCATGATTAAGGTTTGGTGGAACTGCATACCACCCCACTAAGGTACCTAGCGAGATGTCTTTCGACGCCCTACCCCGGACACATTTACCTTTGGCTATTTCTGTTTTGAGGGTGTTTTGTCATACGTGTTCCGCTTTTCTCCAGTTCTTGCCAAAGGTCACCGCTCGGCGGTTTGTATTCCGCTCTAAAGGGCGGTAAGAAACACCTTGCGAGGTAGCTGATGGGCAATACACAGAAGTCAATGTGAGAGCCGTTGAGACCGCCCAAAGACAAACTTTGCCCTCGAGCACCACACCTTCAATATTACGAACATAATCTCGACCTATCCGTTGATACGAGTGAGGTATTTAACCCACGAATAGCGTTTAGTTCCCAAAGCCTGGCCGAAAGGTGGAGGCTCTCGAATTACGTATTTAGAATGTTTAGCATATGCTACCGCCGAAGGAAAGAATGGTCACGATTGCCATATCTCTACACTCGCAGCCTCTACCCATCGTTAACCCGGGTGGTCTGCCAACTCTGCAACATATCGTTACTCACTTAAAAAACAACCTCGGGAAGCCTAATTTCAAACCTGAAAGCTTGGTTAATGAATGGGATTCCAACGCGGCTTTATTGAACGTTGAACACCCTCGATATACTACGGATACTCGAATCTGATAGTGTTATGTTGTAGAGCTCCTGACCTTCGTAACAGTGCTTTTATTACGATTAATTTTGAGAATAGACACTTTCTTCGAAGACTAGGTGAAGTCGATTAAGAGAGGATGGAATCCAATGCTAGACACCGGGACGTATACTATCAAGCCGTTAATACATCCAAAGGAGGTTATATCAACATAGTGTATCGGTACGGAGTTATGGCGCATTCTTGGGCGAATTTGGTGTAAAACTCTTTTCGCCATATTATAAGGCCGAACGGCCACGAATATGTGACTGAAATTGAGATATTTATACTACTTGAATATCTCAATTTCGGTCAGATATGGAAGCCTAGGCTACAGGGCATCAAGGCTTAGAGAGAAGGCCTGATAAGACGGGCTGGCTGTTATCCCGCTTTGGGTACTTGCACTCCTAAGTCAGCGGAGCTAGGTCTCTAGGCAGGTATAAGGGACTAGTTTTAGGAATAATCTCACTTTGCGATTAGCTAGATATTCGAATAATAATGCAAGTACTGTACGCCGACTATCTAGATTATATATAAAAGAGTATAGGAGCGCGATATCGGATTTATATCTGAGTAATGGCCGTTGGGCCTTATAATACTAGCGAAAACAGTTTTGCACCAAATTCGCCCCAATAATGCGCTATACGGAGTACCCAATCAAACACTAAAAATGTCGTTTTTGGAGAATGAAACATGTTGTACAAGATGAGGTTGTTGACATACTCAAAAGCGCCTACTTCGCCTTGGGTCTAGAAAATTCAAGAATTGATCGTGGTTGGTTATAGTTTTGGTTTTGAGAACAAAGAGGCTAACTCTAACTTTGATTTAGAGGATGAGGAGGAGTGTTCCTTAGAGACGATGAGCTGGAATGATATGAAGAGCGGCCAAGGTTTTGGGATATGAGGTTTTGGGCACAGACATCAAACGTCGATTTAATCATATTGTTGAGAGACTGGCATCTCAGACCGACATTTTGACAATATTATTATTGCTCGCAATCTAACCTTTGAAATGGGCAGCAAGCTAGCGCAATTCCAAGGGGTTAAGATTTCGATGCTACTTCGTACAGTGCTACTACACGGATATTAGAGTATCTTCATCAAAATTAACATAATATCCGGCGCTAAGAGCTTCATACTTACATGCGGTGAGTCCTGGTGGTGGCGGTCGGCTGATCCACGATGCCTCGACCATCGAGACATTTCCATGTCGGATTGGCATTGCATATTCCCCATATTTCTTATTTGTGCGGCTTTGTGCGTGGTTTTAGGGCGAAACAAAGGAGGGAATCCTCTTCTGAAAGAATGGAGAATGGAACCTCCAAAACCGAAGAAGAAATAGCACTGGGATAGGGCCTCAGTGTCCTTACATACGCCGTAAGCGCCATCCGCACGCATAAAAAGATACTTTCTTTCAGTTCCCTTAATTTTGGACTTTACGGAGAAGGCTGGCGACCAATCCTACTCACACTGCGACAAAGTCAGTCCCCAAAATGGAGGCATGCGTACTCCGTAGCTTCGGGCGCAGACATCCAGACGATTAGCGATCATTTCTAAGTTCTCACCGCCAGGAACCACACGACGCGGGCTCGCGCACCCCGTCCAACCAGACATCCGCATGGCCAACACGCCTCGTGCTCCTAATACTGGGGCCAGGCTTCTCTTTCTATGGGTCTCCCCGTGCAGTTCAGGGCGTCGTCGCTGTGGTGGCATTGCAGTTATCCATGAACCCGTCTGGGCGTGAACGATTGGCCTTTGCAGACATGGTTTCAGGTGGGTGTTCTGTGTTCGCTGTCACGAGGGGATTGGGCAGGTTGGCTCTGGGGGTTTTGGCGCATTTCCACATGCGTTCGAATTGGGAGAGGCTGTGTCAGTTATGAGGGCGCTGGCACATCCTTCGGACTGAGCGAGGCATGTAGCAGCTGCTTCAATATCTCGGTATGTATAGCCTTGTGACATGACATGTGAAGGGGATCTCCTGTTGATCATGTCGGGGTCAATATAGCCAGTCTGAAGCTCTGAACACCGTTTTGCTTCATTCACCTTCACCAAATCAATTTGTTGATCTGATTATTATTAAACACTTTTGCCTTCTGTGCAGTGGCGTAAGGCGCCAGGACTGGTAGTGTAGTTCAGTGCACTCTCTGGCGCTCTGTTGGAGGCGGTCAACAGGGCCTAGAGCAGCGCTGTAACCCAAGCTCCACGCCCCAGCACACCACGTTCTGTGCTGTGAATGTGAACTGGACTTCCTCGGCATCTTCGTCCTCTTCCCCAAAGGCTCAAACACAGGTCAGCTCAGAGGGTAACGGCTCTGGCGGAATTATTGGGTTTCTGGGTTTAAGAGGCGCCGCCCGCTCTCTATCTTTTCCGCCTCTGTTTGATCCCACAATATCCCCTCGATCTTATAAGCTTGGCTCATCGGCATTTATAAGCGTCGTGGGCCCTCCCTAGCCTTCCTCAAGGCTCAACCCCTCAGGGAGCTTAATTCAATAGTGGCCGCTGCTTGTACGCTACTACTACTCTATACCATCGCCCCTGTCAGCATTGGTGGGGTCCCCTTTATCGACTGCAGTCCCTGGCCACTGGATTGCCCCCGTCTTATGTTCTCTAAACCACAACCGCAACCCAACAACAACAAATACAGTATTATATTCCAGAGTCCGTGGTTGGCAACGGGAAGGGACCCGGCTTGGCGCAGCATATCGATATCAATCGCGGAAATTGGAATCCGGTGTTTGTGATTCAAAGTCAAAAGGAGCTACAGGGGTGACTGTTTTATATTCCTTCACTTCCCCCACTGTTTCTATCCAGCCAGTCGATCGTTAGAAAACTGCGCTCTCCACCCACAAATCACTCTTGAATATTCAAAATATGAGGAGGAAGTAAGATTTCAGTGGTAGGAGTGATTGGACCTCACAAATCTGGACCTGGAATTGTTGACTCTGAACCACCTAATTTCGCCTCCGATCTCGCCCTGACCTCTCAGTCATTTATCACGATGGTTTCGCCGTCCAGGAGACCAAGACACCTACAACCACTCACCACCCATTTTCACATTCACAATAAGTCATTCTCAAGCATAACAACAGACTCGGATGCTGGGACATTCCATTCAGCATATGCACATCCTTCAAGCATGGAGATGCGACCTATATCTCAGCCCACAGCGGCTTCAAATACTATCCAACGATCCATATCCCCACCTCCTGCCACTTCACCAGAAGTCGAAGCAATCAAGATGGACCGCCAGGACTCAGGCTTTCAGGATGGCATCACAGTCTCCCGACAAACGTCGTCATCGTCAAGAACCCGCCGCCCCTCGCCATCAAAGTCAAAACGGCGTACGACTAACTCCTCCACTTCGTCTTCTACTCGCCCTTCTACTAAAAGAGCGTCTCGTTCCGCCCCCCTAGCCGTCACCCAAACACGAAATTCCACTTCATCAGGACGCAGGCCGACCATCCACGCCCGACATACCCTACCCCAGTCAAGTCACTCTCAATTCTACCACTTTCCAACCCTAACAGACCCCCAACCGGAACCGGAACCCGAAGCCTCCAGCACTCCTCTACCTCCCCCATCCACTGTTCACTACTGGACATCGGATTCCACACGCCGTCTAGAATACGCTGCTATCGACGCGGCATCACAAGGTCTCAAAGGCTTCATCATTAAGCTGGTCCCGGATTGTGTACTCCCTGCTAGTTCGAGACGGACACGCTTCTGTGAGGGGACCGAGGATAATGATAGTGACTTAGGGAGTGTGAGGCGGTATCGACTTACGCTTCCTGAGGACGAGAAGGATGGCGAGGAACCACGCCAGTGCGAGGGAAGTAAAGGGGGGTTTCGACGACGATGGTCGGCAATCTTTGGCCGAAGGAGGAGCTGTTGATTTGAAGCAGAGAGACGGATAATGATGATGACCAGGTATTGGGATGAAATTTGTTTAATGTCGTTTTGCGTTGCATAAGCATGAGCAGGAGCTTTATACCCCCTATGATGCCGCTCTCACATCACACTGATGATGATGATGAAGATGGCGATGAAGTTTGCATTATTCGGTGCTTAGATGATGATGATTACGAGGCGGGAGTCTGAGATTGGCATTTACATACTACATAGACACAGACTGAACTGAACCAGGCAGTCAGCCTGCATGGGAGAGCTTTTTCATTTGTTACAGGGTGGTGGAAGAGATAGGGTACTATACCTAGGTACTGGGTGATGGATAATATGATGTGTGGATGAACATATGGGTCACTTTGACGTTTAGATGCAGATGGATAGATGACGGTGCGAAAGACTGGCTTCTTCTACATACACAATTATAATTTGTTGAGTTAGTAAAGGCAAATAATATCTACACAGTGATATGTATCAGAGAAAGGCGAGATGTGAAATCTAAAATCACCTTGAGCTCAGATTGTAGTCGTCTGATTATTTGAGATGCCTTTGATCGACACGAGGAAGTTGTGCAAGGTATATGCCGACTCGAATCTTACTTTCAGAATAGAATCAAGTCCTCTGCTCCAACCCCTTATAAAACAATTCATGCTATTTCTTATAGGGATGCCAATCCCTGTTGCGAAGGGACAGTTTTGGTATAGTTAGCTAGAGGCTCAGAAACGTTAAAGGGCATGGAAGAGCAACCCAAATGACACAGCTAGTGGAAATAAACCCTAAGTTCAGAAGCTGAATATCATTTGCTCTATTCTTGAAAATAGCACCCAGACGCCTTGCAGTGAGTCCATGCATATCTCGAAAATAAAAAACTTGTGATACACGCTTTGCAGAGTCTAAGTCTGTCAGTCCACATCATTATGGCTTCCCCGACTCCAGGAGTTTCTCATCCGCTCAGCCGGTTCACTTAAAGGCTACTTCCAGAGCCGTCACCCAGCAACCGCGCAATTAGGACATAAGTGAATATCACTGCTCCAGCAACAAGCATCTTATGCCTTGCCACCCAACTCCTGCCTTCCTCGCCAACTGCTCTCCCGCCTTCGACCACCGCTCCTACAACTGCTTGACTGCCGCTCGGCCTCCTCAAACCACCAATGGCAGGCCCGCAGTTTCCGGACGCAGCAGCGTTGGGATCAACCATGGCATTGCCTGTCATAGGGTCGATGTTATTCTCTTTCATCCACTTCCAATTCTCTTTATCTAATTCCGCCCATTCGGCTCTGAACTTTGCGCCGCCATCCCCAGCTTTAACATTTCCCTTCTGTACTTTGGCTCCATCTCCATTCCAGCTCCCGCCTCCCGTGCTATTCCACCATCGACTTCTTCCAGCAACCCACTTACGCTCTACTTCACTTGCGCCCACGGAGCCAGTAGTCATTTCCTCGCTCGTCATGAAGGAGAGCAGGCCGATTAGGATGGTGCTCACTTCCCATGCTGGGTTGAAGGATTTTGGATGGAAATCGGAGATGGAGAGACATAGTCGGGTAGAGGGTTGGAAACGTCCAGAGGGGGTGTGCATGCGGATGGCGGGGGGTGCGAAGGGGTAGTTTGGTGGAAAGATTAGAGTTCCCCAGTATTGGCCATTATGGTAGGGTGTATCTGATGGACCGGTGAGGATATAATGCCATCTGGGGAGAGAAGTTAGCATCGGGGTTCAGCAAGTGGGCCGGATACAGCGGAGGCATACTCTAGAATATTTGATTCAGATGGGTGCGCAACAATGTATGGAGGGGGGTTTTTGGATATTGTCTGGTATTCGCGGGTTAACTGATTATCTGTCAGTTCAGTTCTCCATGCAGCAGATACGCTGTGATATGCCTGAGATAGGGAAATACCCGTTTGTTCGCAGCGCGACTGGCCATTGCGATCTGCGGTTGGCCGATCTGCGGACCTGAGTGTTACAGTATCTAACTGACAGGGACGTCCAAGGATCGAAATATATCCACCAGACAAGACGGCTGCGAATCCCAAACAACCAGGTGAGGGAGTGTGGCGAAGGGTAAGAAGAAAATGACAGTGGGAGTTATTCGTTTGATATTGATGTCGTGTGCTCTTCAGTCTCGGAGACTCTCTACCTTGTAGGATGACGAAGGGATGCCGAACCAGGATAGTGAATATTGGCGCCTTATATTGCCTCAGGCTTCAAGATTTTCGCCAGCCAAAGCCGATTGATTCCAGACTACAACCCAGCCCGTGCAGGTTCGTTCGAATTCGAAGACGAGCTGGAGATGGCGTCACCCGTTGATCCCGGAGATGATGTGAGTTTCAAAGGAGAATCCCATGATAGCCCGTAATTATATTATGGAAGCACTCGGCGGGGAGCTCGATTGCTAACTTTTTATGTCCTCGGCAGCTCTTTGATAGCCTCCGCAAGACCGACCCGAAGAAGCTGGATGAGCAAGCGAAAGCTATAGTGGAAAAAGATGAGGCCCTTCGTTTAAAACAGGAGCAGAGGTTAAGGGATTTGGTGAGCAGATATGTATGCATTGTAAAGGAATATGGAGCTAAACAATTGAGCAGATTCAAAGCAATTCGACGCTGCCAGTCACTATCTCCTCGATCCGGCTCGTCGGGGTACGGAATACAAGAAGATCCTTTCTTGACCGAATATTCAATCCTATCATTGGTGCAAATCGAGATACACCATATACGCTGTCAGAGGCATTGCAAGAGGCTGGCTCGGCGGCAGACAAGCTTCGGCGGTTTGGTGTGCTACACTCTGGGAAAGAATTCACATGGAGAGAGTACTGATTGATCTCTAGATATTTACCATGACGGGATATCTATTTCCGTCGACAAGCCACCTCAGACCGACCCTTCCTCCACCCCAACAGATATCGATATCTACCTCCAAGCTCGCGAGCGTGGCCGGGTATCTTTAAAAACCGGAACCGACCTCGGCAATGTTGAAGGTTCTGCCTACGGAAACCTGCTCTGGCGCAACATCTTCGGGGGTGCGGAGTCAATCAATTTGAATGCTTCAGCAGGAACGCGTACAAGGTCGGCATACCAAGCTGTATTCGACACACCCATTCTCAGCGACCCCGACAAAAGACTATCGATCGATGTCCTTGCAAGCTCAACACACAAACCATGGGCCAGCCACGAAGAGGCCTTGAAGGGAGCGGGTGCTAAATTCAGCTGGGCTACAGGAGGCGGATCGAGCCACCAGATTGCCTACACGGGTATGTGGAGGCAGATAACTGGCTTAGCGGGGACTGCGTCACCTACTGTGCGAAGTGATGCTGGTGATAGTGTCAAAAGCAGCATAACACATACTTGGATACAGGACCAAAGGGACAACCCTTTCATCCCACAACGTGGATACCTGCTCAAAACGATTTCCGAGATTGCAGGGTGGGGGCCATTGAGGGGAGATGTTGCCTTCTGGAAATCTGAATTAGAAACGTCCGCAGCAATACCTATTCCCGTACCGGGGATCAAGGGCGATAGTGGTGTGAGCTTCACAACTGGGCTACGTGCGGGAATGCTATATCCATTATCTGTTGGCTTTGGCTCCACACCCCAGCCCTCGAGGATAAACGATCGATTTCAGCTGGGCGGTCCAACGGACGTGCGAGGGTTTAAGATGGGTGGTTTAGGCCCACGAGACGGAGCCGATGCCGTAGGAGGAGACATCTTCGCCGCTGCATCTGCAAACCTGTTAATGCCCCTTCCGCGGCTCGGCAAGGATACCCCGCTGCGATTTCAGTTGTTCGCAAATGCGGGTAGACTGCTTGCCCTCAAAGACCGAGGCGACAACACCCAGAAGAGCGTATATGACACTGTTGCCCAGCTTGGAGACGGGCTTCCAAGTCTTGCGGCAGGTGTTGGACTCGTGTACGCCCACCCAGTCGCGAGATTTGAGCTAAATTTCAGTCTGCCACTCGTCATGAGGCGAGGGGAAGAGGCGAGGAAAGGCCTGCAGTTTGGCGTGGGGATTAACTTCCTATGAGCTGCCATTTACTCGCCTGAGTTGAAAATTAGATGGAGGTGAGAATGATTATTGTATATATTTAGATGTACTGTAGTTTCACCATGTGCTGAATGAGAAATAGAGAAAAGAAAAAATACCCCTTTTTACTCGCAGAATTGAAAATGTTGAGGAAGTCTGAGGTTAAGCCGCTCATTTCTCCCCCATTCGACACCTCTCTCTCTGCGCAAGAAAGACCTGCGCTCATCATAAGTCATACTCCAAGAAAGAAAAGCTCATATCTGCCATTCAGTAGCTACATCTTAATAAGAGAATTAGTCGGACGAAATGTTCACTCGGGTGGGCGGAAGCAGGGGTTAGGCGTTAAAAATGTTCATTGCAGTATATGCCATTCAAACTTCTTCCTAACAGCCAATTCCTTCCATTTCAACCAAACCACCTAGTTAAAAGAGCGACCGTATCAGCCCCTCAGTAGTACGAAAGTAAATCCCAAAACGCATCCATTCGATATGCAACTTTATCCTTTCCTACACGACTATGACAACCAACTCCTCTTCCCACATTTGCAAGTATTCTCCTTTCCGAAGTCTGGAGGCGTTCGAGTCGCGGTATGGTGAGAGAAATGATCATCGAAGTTTGTTGACAAGGAGGAATTTAGTGCTAGTACACCGCAAGTCAGAGAATATTCGGAGTAAATATAGAAATGAAGGCAAAGATTAGAGTACTTACAGTGCAGCAGGAGCATCCGTCACAGCTGGCGCAGCCGCACTTGGCACAAGAACAGTCACCCATGTTTGCGGTAGTTGGTAGGTAGTGGAGTTTCGTTGAAGTAATGCTTGATGTCGAGGCTCGACGATGGTATGATTTGCGAGATTTGGAGGTTGTATTTAAGTCAAGTTTCAGTTTTGTGTTTCGAAAGATGAGAGGAGCGCGACAGAGAGCCGTTTACTTATAGTGCTCCAGCTCATGTTTCGAGACCCCCAAAAAGGATCAACATGTGATGTTCAAGCCCCGCTCTTGTATTACCCACCAACATGCAGCTCATTCCCTTACCAACAGTGAGGTTGGTGGGGGTGTGGAAGTGAGATACTCCTCTTGAACCCAACATTACACTACAGCGCCGCCGGAAGACATATTATTAATGCGGCGTTCTTAAAACCCCCACGATATCGAAACCCCCGAAGCCTTACGGAAATCTATCAAAGGCTATGTAAGTGCCAAAGAGTTAACTATAACTCGGAACAAAGGCATGGTTGAGAACAGCTACATAGATGTGTGAAGCATGGAGGCGTTGCTGATCTTTACACTAGGCCTCAGAAATCTTGCCAAATAGAGAAACTAGAAAACAAAACGGTATGCGCGATTGGATTCAGAGAATTACGCGTCACTCAGCAGTTAAGGAAGAGTACGATTGGATAACTTATATACCTATTGCTTTTTCTCACTGGAGGCTTGGCCTTCCCTAAGACTTCTTTGGTGCCTTCCACACCTGATGATAGGCATAAGTGGGGTGAGGGTGCCAACTTCAACGCAAGGCCCAGGTCATGAGCACACGTATATAGCCCACTACCATGTAAGCAGCCAACCTTGCAAAACGGGATTTGACACTTGCCAAGCTGAACCAGCGAAGTCAGAGGGCAAGATTTCAGAAGGAGTATGCCGCTGCCAAGAGATGCGGCAGTGGACTTGTGGTATAGCGAGTAGACTTTGATGCATACGAAGGTACATAAGAATGATTTGTGATATGGTAGTGAATGGTTCCAATAGAGATGAACCCGCAGCAAGCGCGCTGGCCTCCTTATTTGGGCATATAGGAATTGAATACAATGACTGGCCAGAAGGAAACAGAATACAAGTGATACCAGGTCATAGGTAGGAAAAACCACCACATGTATATAAACTTTTGCCACAGTGGTCCTGATATGGAAAGGGCTTTGATCCGGTGGGAGGATAGAAGAAATAAAAGAAACAAGACGGGCCTAAACCATATGTAACCAAAACAGTAGCACATCTACAACTCACATTACTCTATCCACAATTGCATCATAATTGCGTCACTGGATCAACACAACACGTTTGGCCATTTATGCTGTTACAGCTTGTATTTTTGCCAAATGAGCGACGGGCGTAGCCAGATAAAATCAACGCGACATCTCCACCCAAGGTATCATCAATCATGCCTCCCCAACCAACAACCGCCAGAAACGCATCCGAACTCAACCCAACCCGTGCCAAACCCAGCGTGCCAAACTCAAAAGGGCGATCAAATCATATCCGCGTCGAGGAAAAAGACGTCAATGGATATTAGACCGTTCGAGGTGAAACGAATCGAAGAATCGCAGCGAAGGTTGTGACGTGGAAGGAAGGGTAATTTATTTTCCGCAGCCGGAGCAAGAGCAGTCAGCGCCGCAGTTGCCTATGGTTGTTCTCTATGTTAGCATGTTTGTTCAATCAACTGCCCGTCCTTCTCTTCTCCTCTTCATGTTGTCGATAATTTCAACGAGAAATGAAACAAAGCGCGGAGGGGTCAAAGTGGGGGCGGAGCCTGTGCGGGGATGGAGAGCTTACAGCTGGAGGCACCTGAACATCCGCAGTCTCCCTTCATGATGATGGTATTGTTTGGTTGGTATTGGATAATACTGAAGTAGTCTCGAAAGAGTGTTGGTATGTGATATGATTGTGCTTGCTTGTGGTATCGTGGCTTGGCTAACAATCGGAATCAAGACTCGAGCAGGTGGGACAAGCAAAGCCTTTTATGCTGCTGATAACTTCCATGCTCTGCACTGGCCAACCATGATAGGCGAGATATCTCGGGACAACTCGTTGTTAGTTGCACATTTACGTCCAAGCCGCCAATCAAGCGCCTGCGGTGATTGTGCGGTTTTCGTTTCTGGCACTGCGTGTTTTGTGCGTTGTATCCGCGGGGTGTTGGCCGTGTTCAGGCGGGTCCGATGACTTGCTCCTTGAACCAAAGGCAGTTGCAGAAAAACGCACGAATGTGGGGTAACTGCAACACGGAAGAGATCAGCGATTCTCTTCGTCCGGGTAAAAGGCACTTGGGGGGGTTGCCACTCTGCTTCTATTTGATTACCAGGTGCCAGTTGTGTATAATACTATCGGAACCTCACATGAAGAAAAAGGGGGGTGCGGGGGGGCATGCTGTCCGTACCAATGCCCCCACGACCTTTTGAAGTCAAAGCAAACCAAACGGTGGTTACCGAGGAGTTTTAAGTTGAAGTAAAGTCTTTGCTTCCCGTTCTCTTTCTGACTACTTTTGAATGCAGAGGCCCTACGTACGGAAATGATATTCGGGTAGGGACAAGTGCCCCCTACTCAACACCACGAGCCCGTCCAAGATTCCCACGAAGGCCTCATGTACAACACTCTGCACGATTCATCCTGTATTCTGGTCGATATACCAAGTATTATTGGATCATACGGCTATGGTTTCGCCGGGGACTGCGAGGGTGCCAGGAAAGTGACGCCGGCCAATTGAAACATGCTCAGATTATACTTGGTACCGACACCCGAGAGTATATACTTTCCAAGTCCCTCATTATTGCTCGAAAGGCAACCGAGAAGTGTATGAATGGTTGTCCTTCCTTCATGCAGCATCCCTTGACGGCTGTTTGCATGCCGATGCTTCGTACATACGTTTCACTATTTTGGAGGACGCCTTGTGTCTAAGAATCAGCCTGGGTGGGGGGAGAGGATATGGGGAATGGAGACGGTCCATCAGGGGAAGCTCCCGATGCCCATCGTTCGAGTTTGCTACATGGATTGTATGGCTTTACTTGCTTATTTGGCCGGTTTGATTTTCAGTGGAGACATTACCTTGTCCAAGTTCAGGCAGCGGTTGCATCGAGAGCCTCGATCGAGCGAGCACCACTCCGTCAGCATTACGACGCCTATATCTCTGTGCCGCCGCTCCTGGAAGCTCTCGTGCATGCTAGAGTGCCTGGGGAGAAACCCGCTGTCGCCACGTTTTGATAATTATTTTAGCGGACTATCCCCCACGTTGGTTAGCTTGAAAGCACTGTGACGACGTAAGAGTTTGTCTGTTGTATTTATCATTTAATCATGCGGCTGGTGTGTAGTTCCGTTTCCGCTTTCGTTGATAGATGACCATAAAGCAACCGGTTACAGTCCGGTGGGGAGGTGAGATACATACTGTCGTAATGGGGTTGGTTAATGGGCTTTCCTTAACAGCAGCTCTACCCTTAAGTCTAGTTACTTAATATTTTCTTGGAAATACTATAGCACGTTATGATGCTGCCGCTTTCCCGAACCTAGGTACATTCTTTGGCCGTGGGGCTCCTAAGTTCCGGTGAATATCGGTCGAGGGCAATACAGGTAGCAATATACCATTGGATATGTTTTCATGATTGGCTCACATGTCATATAAATTTTGTAATTTCTATGCATTTCCCTAGCCCTTTAGGGGCAAACTGAATTACTTTTGCCCTTGGTTGCCGGAAGGCTATGGGATACGTATCCTATCTAGAGATTGGATGATTGCATCGAGATTAATGTTATTAACTGATCCCTTCCGCAGATAGCGCAGGAATGCCCGATCAAACTCTACTCTGGCAAAGCCAAGTTTCCACTCAAACCCTTAATCCTTAAGATCAATTACGATTTCTAATACCCCTTAATAAGGAAATGGGGGCCCTGCCTAAGTAGTCATGGTTAACCTCAGCCAAGCGTGGAGGCGGCTACCAGCACTCGCGAAACCTGGGAATGAGCCAAGCGTTAACAAGAAAAGCAAAAAGAACGCCTCTGCCACCAGATACCTTTTACTAATTTAGAAGCATGAAAATAAGATGGAAATCGAAATTTGAATCTTGTAAGCGCTGTGGATCAAGCCACCCGGCGGGAAGCGAGGACAATAAGATTCAAGTATAGAAACTTGGCAGACGAAAAAGTAAATTTAAAAGCAATTAGCTAAATGCATTAGAAACCGCTCGTTATAATGTTAGTCAAATACTATGCAAAATTATAGTTTCTGGGGGTTAATAAATTAAGTTTAATTATAATCTACAACTTATACAGTGTCGAGGAGCAGGAAGTGCTCTCATAAATACTACAAGAAAATGTGTATGAAACAACCAACAAGGTCGCTGGTCAGGATCCCACTGGGTGAGGGGCCATATGTGGGCAATTCAGAGGCGGCCATATGGTCGCCGTATCGTCAGATCGTCATGTGGCCGAAAAGAAGCCTAAACCATGGCTTAGTGTTCTTGGGAGTGAATATTCAGGGCGCACGTAGGCGGTGGAAATTCGGAGGACTAATAGTCACAAGATCCAATAATTAAATCATATAGGGCAATTCAGTTTAGTTGTGTGTATCTGTATTAACACTGTAACAAGGCAAAATAACTGGCTCCTGAGCCTTGCTTGCTGTCTACCTGCTTCTTGTATGAAAATGGGAGTAAAAGTCCGGGGGTTTAAAGCTCAGCTGGCCCCATTTATCCACCTGCACTAACTAATACACTTCAGAGGCAAAAATAGAGGACCATGAAGTGTGCAGCTAGCCCACCACAATAGATATATCCTTTATAATATACAAAACGAATGTTTTTATATTTTGACGTCATTATTTTCAGCTTCTATGGCGAGAGGCTTTACAAATGACCTTTCTTGTGATATTGTATGTACGTATATTAAATGTTTCACTCGGTATGGAAGATTAAGAACTGAAATACTCTATGGTTGAGATTTTGTATGTACGTACATTGAGTGTTCCACTCAGTATGGAAGATTGAGAATAGAAATACTTTATAGTTAAGAGAGGTTTTGTACATACGTATATTAAATGTTCCACTTGATATGGAAGATTAAGAATAGAAATGCCATATTACTGAGAGAGGTTTTGTATGTGCGTATATTAAATGTTTTACTCGGTATGGAAGATTGAGAATAGGAATCGTTAGTGTTTTCGGATGCAATGAAATTAAGTAGAAAGAGTTGATGGATTCTAGTAATAGAGGTGGAGGAGAAGTTCTTGTTATATACAGGTAGAAGTGATCCATATTTGCCGTATGTGGCGTATACGTCAACACCCTGATTTGGGCATCGCCGAAACTCAGCAGGAATACTCTATCGTTAAGAGAATTTTATACGTACATATATTAAATGTTCCACTCAGTATTGAAGAATAGGAATACTATATTGTCAAAGGAGGTTAAGGAACTTAGGGTTAATAAATGATATAAAACCTAGTATACTCAGAGTCCGAAGCTAAGACCCTAGTAACAGAATCGGTATTTCCTATGTGTGGTGGTGAAAGAGCTTGGGAGGGCCGGGATATTTTATCCTATTGGTTAGTGGGTGGCCCATCTCCCGATAAGCCCACCCCAATGTCGGGACATGTTCATATATTCAAATAAGTAATTTTCACATATAATCTGATTAAGCAACACGGGCGCTTGGTCTAGGGGTATGATTTTCGTTTCGCACATTCCAAAAGAATGAGTCTATGAAAGGTTTCACTTGGAGAGGTGGAGGTGGAGAGTGTACTACAATAGAGAAATTATATATATATATATCCCTGATAAGCTGAATATTCAGCTAGTATCGTTCCTTATACTAATTAGTATACCTCGTAATAATAGAGACTCTAGGTTGATATACGAATATCATCTGACTTATTTTGTTTAGTCACCTGACCTATATCTTCATATTCCTACCTACCTACCTAGGTATATATATGAGGCTTTCACCTTATAGTATTAGACTCCTTAATTAATACAATCACTTCATTCCATGACTCATTCTGACCAATTAACTGGCCTATATTACCTGTACCAATTTGGTCTCAAATATCAACAATATAACTATATAAAGACTCGACTATAGAAGCTGTGACCTATGTTTACCTATTCCACCTGCTTGTATTGCCCTATAGATATGTTGGTCTATAACTCTTTGGGGCACCTTTATCCACCCTTCCTCCCAAGCTTTTATTATTTCTTCCTTAACTATTAGGCAAGGCCTCCCCTTCCAGATCTGATTTCGGATATAGGCCGATGTTTGCTTAATTGGATTAAAATCCGGCGATGGAGGAGGTCAAAACAGCTGGCAGATGTGGTAAAGGTTGAGGGGATACTTTTTATACTTAGATTTGTAGGGAGAAGTATTATATATAGCAAGGAGGGGCGCTGTCCTACTCATTTCTAGCTCCTTATAATATGGTTGATTAATGGGACCCAAATTGGTACACTTAATACAGGTAATTGATTGGTCAGAATGGGTCTTGGAATGGGATAATTGAATTGATTAAGGAGCCTAATACTATGGGGTGAAAGCCTCACATATATAGGCAAATGAATGTATGAGGTCAGGTGATCAATCAGGTGACTCAAGGAAATAATACCGATGGTATCCGAATGGCTTCCCAGGGCCTCCATCATCATGTGCCATACTAATTAGTATGGGATGCGATGATATCCGTGTATTCGGCTCATCGCGGGTACACATATCTCATTTCTCCTTTGTGGTGGAGAAGTGCCAAGTGGGGTGCCTAAGTGGCTTGACCAGCCGGCCAGGGGAACTCCCATAACTCCCATATTCTAACAAATATGGAAAGACTTGGGCGCAAAATAGTCTTTACAGACTCGATACTAATCTACTCTACCCTTACTCCGATCGCCCCGGTTTATTCTGATCCTCCGCAAGTATACCTTAAGTGACGGCGGCTTTCCTTTCTCTTTTTTCCACTAGCACTAAGCTCTCTATCCTTGGCCCTCCTTTCGGCCTTCAAGACTAGGGTATTCCACCTATCTCTGTCGACGTTTCTTTGTCTAAAGACCTCCTCTGCTTCATGGTTCTCGCCTTCAGTTTCGGGCTAGAATATACGCCAAGGGCCTTGCCTCCTCCCTAAACAGATTGCGCCAAAGAACTATCACCCGCAAAAGGTTATGGGTGTCAGATTTCACTCAGGGTGCTCCTATTTGTTGGGTTTGTGCTAACAAACGTCGAAATGCGGCGCGTAAAGCCAGGCAGCCAGCCTGCGCACTCGAATTACCTGTATTCATATACAGTACTAGACATTAAGTATTGGCCTTAAGCGAAAACCACCATTTCTTGTATAGAACCACAGCCATTGAATTATTAAATAACTTCATCAAAAATAGAGCGATTCGAATACAAAGTAGATGAAATCTATTTTAAGCTAAATGATAATAATTCTGCCAACTTAAATAGTACTTTCAAACTCCTAATACTTTGTATACTACCTATCTGCTTCGATACAAGCTATAATCCGCCTCGGCATACTCTCTATTAGAGACTCAAAAAGCTCGTCGGGCAACGTAGCCCAGGCTACTTTTAGAGCTTCTTCTAAGTCCTTTCGATCCTGCTCTGTCTCCCCTGTAACTGTAGCTAGGTGTAGGAATAGCTCTAATACTTTCTTTTTCAAAGCCTACTAGGCGTTCTCAATTGAGTTGAGATCAGGGGAGTAAGGAGGCCAATCACAAGTCTCTATTCCGTGTTCCTCGAACTATTCCTTGACTTTCTTTGCAGTATGGATTGGGGCGTTGTCTTGTATGAAGATAAGATCGTCTTTGTAATAGGCAAGGAGAATAGACTCGAGAACGTCGATGTAAGAAGTAGCAGAGTAGCTATTCTTCTTCGACTCGAAGTCTCTGTCTATTATATATAACTCTGTCCTTTGCGTATATCCCTAGAAAGCTGCCTACACTATTACTCTCAGCTGCTTTCCCTTCTTATATGTTGTAACTATCTCTGGCTTCCACTTGTCGTCAGGGAAGCCGAATACTTATTCTACTACTTTACCCCGTCTACACTCTGCAGAACACTCATCACTCCACATATATTTCCTCCACTATTCCACGTCCCAGTACTTCCTAACTTTGCACTAGAATAGTCGAATAGCAGCTACTTTACTAGTAAGCTCTGGTCTTTTCTTTGCGCGCCAGTGGAATAGGCTATTCGCTCGTGCAAGGTTCTTGATGTAAGTATTGCTCATTTTGAGGCCGGTGTCTTCGCGACGTTGTTGGAACGTCAATTTCGGATAAGATCGGAGATTTCGGAGCATGGATCGACGGTCCCGTTCAGTATAGAGAATTGGCCTGCCAGGGCGAGGTAAAGACACTCCGTTTGATCTTAATATTTCAAGGGCAATTGTACCCCTCACAGCGGAACGAGAGACCTTCATTTCGAGCTCAATCTGGCGGGCGGATAAACCAGCGATACGTGCGCCAATAATACGCCCTCTTTCATAAGGAGTTAATTCAGGACCTTTACGCTTCCTATTCCCATCAATAGGGCCTAGGGGAGAGCGTGGTTGTTCCATAATTAGTAAAAAAAGGATGAAGGAGGAAAAAAGAAAGTCGCGGTTTGACGCGCTTTTACGTGTTTCGGCTAATACTTAGTGTCAGTCACTGTATACTAGGTCGGCCTCTGCTACTGTAATTCGTAAGGGGGCTACTTGCCTCTACTATTTACCAAAAATCCGACCCATATAGCCAACCTGCGAGCGAGCGTGCGTGCCTATATACTGGAATCACTACCTGCCTGTACGCTGGATCAGTATCTGTAATTTGCATGGGAAGTGCTTGCCTTGGTCATATAGTAGAAATGGTCGAAATGCGACGCGTATGGCCGGCCGGCCAGCTAGCCTGCGCACCTAAATCATATCAATTCCTGTATGCCTAATCGGCCTCTGCCTGTGTAGCCTGCAAGAGAATAGCTTGCCTTGGTCATATAGTCGAAATAGTCGAAATGCGACGTGTATAGCCGGCAAGCCTGCACACTTTAATCACCACTTACCTGTACGTATATAGTCCGAATAGGCACTGTGGAGAGGAAGAAAACGTAGTAGGGGCGCACGGGCTCCATTTTAATAACGCGTGGCCCTGTCTGGTGGTGAGAAGGAGTTGGGCGAAAAGAGACGGAGTTCCGGGCGAGATGGCAAGCCTCGGTAATCCGTATGTGGGTCTAAGGGGACACACCGTCGCGACCAAAAAAGAATATTATAATTTATTAACATAAAAGCACTGCGAAAAAAGAAAAAAGAAATTTTGGACGCTGTGGGAATTGCTGTTGTTGCTGTTAGTTGATGTTCATTTGATATCATGAATGGTGATTACTTACAACCCACGACCTTTCATAGACTCATTCTTTTGGAATGTGCGAAACGAAAATCATACCCCTAGACCAAGCGCCCTGCTTAATCTGTTTTGTGACTGAAAATCCTTATTTAAGAATATGAACAGATTTGACAGCTAGGCCGGGGTTATCGCGGGACACCATCAAGCTGATCGGATAAACTACTCCGGCTGCCCCGACTGACAGAATTCTTTTCGCCACCCAGGTTACGCTTGAGTATCTGCAGGCGCAGTTCTTCATGCATCTTATTTGCTGTGTCGGTGATATATGAGCAACATCACAGAGCAACCATGCAACCAACTGGGCAACTGGGCAACTTCTTCAGGCAAACCTTTCTGCTTGATTGGCGACGAAAACTTATCTAGTTAGCCTCCAGCAAGTTTCACGCTTCCTTTTGTCGGATCAAGGTCCTCAACTGTCTTACTAGAGACTCTAGACTTTGATTTGCAGGATCAAGGACAACTTTGATTTGCGGGATCAAGGAAACTTTGATTTGCGGGATCAAGGAATCTTTGATTTACGGGATCAAGGAATCTTTGATTTGCGGGATCAAGGAATCTTTGATTT